GATAGCGCATGCTCACCTGTAGAATTTATGTATATGAACTTTTATTTCTTTTGGTGATTTATTAATTGACTTGATTATGTTTTTGCCTTTTATTTTTCACTGTATTGTTCTAAAAAGTGGTTTTGCAACGTTCCACGAAACATTTTTTGCGCAGTGTTCATTTGACGATATACCTACACACATATGTAGTATATGAATCGGTTCATTCATATGTACATATTATTTATCTTCTCGTATCCTTGACAACGATTTTTATTTATTTGATCGCATATCTCTTAAGTCACCTATTGTTCATGCAGTCTTCACAGTTTGGTTTGCAGCATAAATGTGAATTAAATGAGTGAATACGTCGCGTATGTTTAGCTTCAAAACTAGTACTAGTCTATGCTATTACACGGCGTTGAAGATTGGAGTACGGTTTTGTACGGAGATTTTCAGAAGCTTTGTTAGCTTTAATCCGATTTTTAAGCTGATTACTTACAATATTTTAAATATTTATAGAAAAACTATTAATTCAAAAAGAATTCGAAAGGAGTTTCCCCATTAATACGCTGCGTTCTAACGTTCTGAACAGACTCAAGAGATCTTGATTAATAAAAATGTTGAAGAATAAATTTTACTTTGCACAACTGGTAAAGCAACTTTAAGAAAATGCTCCATTTAATATATAAATTAGAAAATGAACGTTGATTTTAAGGTGACTCTAATATCGAGAACGAAATGCAAACTTTTTTCAAGAACATTATGAATCATACGCTCAACAAAAAATAAAAATAGAAAAGTAGATACATTGAAACCTATAAACAAATAAGGTAGTTCTAACATCTGGCACAATTATAATAATATTTAGCACCAAGATGTCACGACCTTAGTAGTTTGCGAAATATATATACTTATGCCTCTTTCCACTTTGAGTTGTTTTCATGGATCGATCACAATTTTTAGTCAAGCGTCGTCTGCCTGAGCATGAATGATTTAAATTTATATCTTTTTCGATTAGTTTTTAACGCAACAACCGTTACGTGGTGTAACATGTTTCGAGAGCATAAAAAGTAGTAGGATCTGGACACCGGCGTCGTAAGGCATTGCAACTATAGGTAAATGTAGAATGAAAATCAATATATGAGCCGTTTATTTTAAAAGTGATTTAAGTCCATTTTAAAAAAAATTTAGTTAATGATAACAATAATCACAATCCTATATAATATTTTTGTTTTTATAAACAATTTAAGTCTAGTATCATTAAAATCGCTCTGATTTGGGGCACTTAAAAATTTGCTTGTTAGCAAAATGCGAACAACTTTATTTTGCAATTGGTTTAGGTTCACTGAAAGGAATAATTTTGATATGGAATGTCTTATGTTACAAAATTCCGAAAAAATTCTTAATTGCACAGTACAGCAATAAAATTCACTACGAAGCAGTAAAATTTATAACAGGAAAAAATTATAAATTGGCGTTCCTTCGGTAATATGGAAGTGTTTTTAGTAAGTAAGGAGATGTTGGATGCGATTTATAATAATATCACACATAATTTAAATGTTGAGAAATAATATGGCATAATATTTAATATTATCCTTAATAAATGATGGTTAGTTTAATTTTTTAATATATGAATTAATATTTATATTTAAATACATGTTTTTCTAATTACATAAATAAAAATATATATATGTATGTATATTAGGGTATGCGTTATTTTCAAAATTGATTTTTTTCTTCGCAAACGCCTTCCGAATTTTCACTTTTTTCCCTTAAAAAAGGAGCCAACGTAAACAAGCTCTTTATTTTCAATTGAAACTGTGCCTAAATTATTTTAGTTTTCCCATATGCCATACAGAAAAGGTCTACAGATTTTTCATGAAAACATACTTTTGAAAGTTTTACGCAACTAAAGTTATGCCTGAAATGTACTGAGCATTCATAATTATATAAATTAATTCGATTGTACCAAACTTTTTTAATTCAAAAGTGGTTCAAAGCAGTCGAAAATATAGTTATTGGTAGTAAGGTATATAAGTCGATTTTGTTACAAGTTTGAAACACACAAGTATACACCAACTATTAGAATGTTAGTAGTTACACACAGCGGCATATACCTATATGCTTACATATGTACACATACAATAAGTTAGATTAAAGAGTGTAACCGCCTCAACAAGTTGCAAATCGCTAAAAAATATCAGTGCGCAAAGAGCAAAACAAAAACTGGTAGAATTTACAATTGCAAAAACCACAATAACAGCAATATTTAGCTGCAACTGACAGCCAGGCGTAAACATAGGTACATATACATGCATACATACGTATATGATACACACCTACAAGCATAACAGCATACATGCATATACATACAGACATTAATATCTGACAATCGATTTGCCGTTGTACTTGAATTTATTCAACGCGCCGGTGCATTGCAGTACTAAGCCAAACAGCATACAGCATATATATACAAGTACATATATGTATGTATATCTGAATTGAAGACCGCTCTAGCCACGAGTTCTGCTGCCACTCTTTAAAGACGTAGTATGGGAGTATTTTCATATAAATACGTATATATACATAAGTACATATGTATGTATATTTAAAATTGATGAACTCAGCAACAACAATCCCAGCCCTGCAGGCGCGTCTTAAAACAGACGATTTGTGTATTGTACATAATGTATGTACGTACTTATTTGCAATCATCCCACTTCCGATTTCCACAACTATATAACTGCATGTTAATAAATTCACTTACATAGTATATACCTACATATAGGTATACCCGAATCAATGATTGCCAACCATATATCGAACGAATGTTTAGTTGAGTCCTTTGATGTTGTTGTAATATTTATGCTCTTCCTTCCTTTTGTTAATTACAGCTTATCCTGTTTGGCCCTTCACTTATATACATACTTACATAATAGTGTTCACAAACATACATGTGTATGTAGGTGATTTGTTGTACGAGAATGCAATTCACTTCTCAGATTGTTGTTGGCTGATTGGTCCAAATCAATTGGCTTGTTGCAAGTAGGCCGTATACTGCACATATGTACATATATGTATATTCACGTTCTCAGGCATACTAGGTTGGTACAGTGGGTAAGAAGTGTGTAATATCTAAGTACAAGTCCAGTAGACACAAGACTTACCGAGCAAGTCAATAATGAACATTTTTATGCAAAGCAAAGCAAGCAAAATAGGCATATGTTCGAATAGAATAGATAAAAAAAACTTAAATAATATTTTAGTTTAAAACTTTGAAGCAATTTCAGAAATCAACTGCAAAATCAAATGGCTTAAAGAGCTTGAGGAATTAAAACTTAGAGAAATCCTCGTTCATGTCATAAAAACCAATCCTGCTCTTTGCTTAAGTATTTTCCTATACGGATTGTTTTGATTTTTCATGAGCCAAGCGATATATCAAAAACTCAACCACATTTAAGTTAAATTTGTGATGATTTCGTTTCTATCACAAACAAGTGTCTCTTCATTTTACTTATGCGTGTCTTGTTAAAATAAATACAGAGAAATAATTATTAGCTCCTTTCTATACTCTGACCAGGGTTTATTAAATGATCAGCATGACGAACTGAGCCGATTTAGCCATGTCTCTCAGTTTTGAGATATCGATTTGTTTTGCACACATTCTTTTCTCCCCAAGAACCTACTCATTTGTCGGAACGGTCAACATCGACGCACTATAGCATATAGTAGCTGTCATACAAACTGGACGATCAAAATCAAATTCTTAAATGGGAAATTTTTTTATTTGACAAAATATCTTCACGAAATTTGTCATATATTATTGTCCAACGCAACGCTAAAATCTCCGGACAAATTATTCAGATCGACCACTTTTGCAAATAGTAACCATGCAAATTGATCTATCAAAATCATGATAAAGATCTTCGTAAAAGATATATTTTCCTTATTAAGTAACTTTAATCGAAGGTTTTTTTATATAAAAGAATGTCGCTAAAAACAACTAGCCAAACTGGTGAAAGCAAACTGTTGGCCGGTTACGTTTTCAGATTTACATGTACATATTTTTGCTTAAAGAAATGCACCTGTAAAGGGTATTATATCTTCGGTGCAGCCGAAATTTACTTTTTTTCTTATTTTGATACAAATAACCAAAGTTAAAATATTAAAATATTTAAGTAAAAAAAACAAAAACTATTTTCTTTGTTTTTTTAAACTATCGCCAAAGAAATTCAATAAATTTGAATGAAACTATAACAAATGTTAATTAAATTTAAAAAAAAGTAGTCAAGAGGTCCACTGTCCAGCCAACTGTGCATTCGTATCTCACTTAACTGCGGTTTTTAATCATTTTTTCGGCAGGCAATAATCATTTGCTTGTTGCACTGCTCACAAGTTGTTTTTGTACAGTTGGTTGGTGCAATGCATGGTGTGCTCGTCGCACCATCAAAGTGGCGACATTGACTTCAATTTGCGAAAATTGATCGGTGTTGCTGATGCAAGTGGCCGGTTCAAGTTGCTGTGGTTGCCAATTTTTCTTATTTTGTAATTTTGTGTTGTGTTGTTCTGTCATGCAACTTTAGCAAATCGCTTGTTGTTGCGCACTGAACCACATACATACATACTTATATAGAAGTATTTGCGGTGTACATGCACATTGCATATACATACATATAAATATTCATATGATATGTATGTAATTATATATCTACATATATGTATGCATATATGTACGTATTTAAATTGGTGCATACTGGTTATCCTTTGGTAGCAACTTCTCATTAATGGCTAATATTCAAGCGCTTTAGTGTTTGCTGCAACATTTTTGATGAACTTGTTTGAACAAAGAGTTTTTACTATTTACTTTTGTTGCTTCAGTTGAATGAAACTAAAGTAAAGTTTTAATATACATATATAAACATATGTATGTGTATAAATTACAAAATTAAATGTGTATGTACATCATTAACTATTGATGGCATCACATTACATTAACTGTAAAATGGCGTTTTACTCACCAACAGCGATAAAGTTGCGTTGCGTTGTGTTAATATTTCCACATTCTCATTACAACAGATAAATTCCGCGACAGAATTCTTTATTATTACTTTTTTTTGACACTTGTGTAGTGCATTTGCATTTACTTATTTGATATTTTAATTTCACAAAACTGTGTTTCCACTTAAAGCCACAGCCACATATGCATATGTACGTATGTATGTGTATATGTGTTTGCCGACTTTCTTTTTAATTAAAAATCAATTAACCTTTTGAATTAACTGCGCAACTTTGCGTGTCATTGAATTTGCAACGGATTTTAATGCAACAGAACGTATATAAATATATGCATATGTACTGTTGTATTATATGTACATGTAGGAAGACTTGTTCGTCGGTAGCGTTGTTGTTTTTATGCAGCAAACGAAGCTTTTGCACTTGCCGTTGACACAGTTGTTGTAGTTGCCTGTACACTTTATTTTTTCACTTTTGTTGTTATTGTTTTTTTCTCAAGTTTCGGAGTTAAATCGTGTTGGTTCTTTAATATTTTTGTGTTGTTGTTGTTATGCCTTCAATGGAGATACTTTGTTTATTAGCAGTTTTTCGTTTTTCATTGTTTTGCATTTTTTAGCGCAAAACTATTTTAACTTATTTTGTTATTACAGATTTTTCTTTTCTCGCCCCTGGCTTTTGTGGCTTCTTTCATTGGCAGAGCCGCACACAGCAACACCTACTTATTTGAAACATTCACGCTATTTATTGGGGAGCAATAACCGGTTTCTAGCAACAATAAATGCACTCACATGAACGACCGACCGTATGCATGTATATAAATACAAATATGTATTTATGCATGTGTGTAGAGTATGTAAATAAGAAGGTAAGCCAGAAAACCAAGTAACGAATAACGTTAGAAAGCCAAAAATAAAATAAATAGGTAGGTGAAAATAAAAACACAACGTAACGCGTTTAGGCAACGGTTTTGGGGGTAAGACTTGTGAGCATTTTGCTGGTAGTAAGCAAAATTCCAATGTGCGCGCGCCGTGACAACAAAGAATGCTGCTGTATCGTCCAGGGATACGAGCACAACATACAAAAGAGCGGAGCACCGATGGTCTGCCAGCAAAAATCGCTATGAAACCACATAAAATATTTCACTAGAAGTTGAAGCTTGCACTGCACACTAATTACCTCGTAATAACAATTATTTGCTTTGAACAGATGCAGTTTTCTTGTTTACATTTCTTTTGTCCTGCTATTTGCTCAATTCACTGATTTGGTTGGTGGCGAGCACACATAATGGTTTGCGTGCATAAAAGCAACAGTTGCTGGCGATATTCTGTGCGGATTTTATATTGTTTCGTGCGTATGACGGCTTGCAAATGAACGACAACAATCGGATTCAACAACTCAAAGAGAACTGAAGCCATGAGAGCGCGTACAAGTGGTGAAGTACCTGTTTGATTCAATAGCTCTGCAGCTGGTGAGCCAGCTCAGCGGTTGGCGCACTAGATGGCTAGCCAACTAGCTGCTTAGTGGATTGGTGACTTACATTGGAAATGTAAACTGGAAATGAAGGTGTGGGTATTGGAATATTTCGAATTGGAAGAGTTTAGCGGAAATGGCCGCTAGACGGTAATTACAAGAGTTAAATACCAGCTTTTTGCGTGGAAGGTTCGAAATGCCGAAACTTTGTAAACGAAAAAAATTAATTAACATACATAATAGATACATACATGTATGTATGAATGTACATTTACATGTGTATATGTATGTTAGCTATTCTGTGTATGGTAGCAGTTTATTGCTTTTTGTTTTATTTGCAGTGTAGCAACGAGGAAATTAGCGTTGCCATATGCCTTGCATGGTTAAAAACAAACAAATTAAATTATATGGTATATGCAAATTAATTCAATTACATATGCAAATATTGTAAAATAGGATACCTAAATGTTTACAATCAACAAATATTAATTATAATAAATATAATTTACACCAAATCAGTATTTATGTATGTGCTTAATAAACAGACTAATCAGAACGGAACTTGCTGGTTTTATATCCGCTATTTTCTTGTTAGAAAATTCGAAAAGGAAGTAGCATGCGATCTTGATGCTGAAATGGAAAAGGAAACAAGTCGATATTCGTTGTTTTTTTTTCATAACGATTCCCTAAATCATATTGCATATTTGTACACAATTTTAAGCTTCTTATCTCTCAGTTATTATATTACTACCCCCTCCTTAGCTCCACTTCTGTTGATCCCGATCCCGTCCCGTGCAATGTTTGTTGGGTAAGGGGAAGGGTCCCTTATGATTTTATACTTTGTTTTTATATGTTTGTTTGGTCCGGGTTCTACTGGTCTGTTAAGTTTTGGAGTTCTCTTCTCCGCTGCTGCTCTCGGGATCTTTGGGGTTTCATGATTTTGGCGGCTATTTCGCACAACTCATTTCACTTAGCTTTTGCTTGAACCATTTGGGTTACTAAGTTTTAAGGGGTTGGGTCTATACCGAATGCACTCTTGAGATATTGTCTCTCTTGCTCATATTGCGGACAATGGAACAACGTATGCTCTACATTCTTAACTGTCCCGCCCCCTCAATTATCGCATATATCATCATTTTCGTGTAGGAAGCGTTTCAAATATGCTTTGAAACAGCCATGCCCTGTGAGAATTTAAATTAAATAAAAATTTACCTCGCTGTGTGGGCTTTTTAGCCATGTGTCCGTTTCAGGCTTTTTAGTATCTTTGGCTAACAAGGGCAGCAATTACGAGGGCAACATCTTCTGACACTGTACGAAAAGCTGAGCGTCGGTAAGATTTTGTTTCGTGTGCTTTTCCCCATACCTCGCCACCGTATAGAGCCATTAGTAGTTCAGAAGTCTTTTATTAAAGTAGCTTACGATTATTTTGTAAAAATATAGAGGCACGGAGAAACTTTTTAGGGCAGCCAATATGCTATGCCAAGATGTTGAGTTAAAAGCATTTTTAACATCAAGGGTTACAACACCTTGCTAGGATATGTGTATGTGGGCATTTGGTAAAATAACTTACGTCTCCTCTCGCCCCAGCACCTTGATTAATTCAAAGATTATATTAGGGGTCAGGGAGACAATGTGTTCACTGCTCAAACTTGGGAATCCGAAGACTTCCCTCAGTGAGTGCTACGCATTTAATTTCAAGCAGTAAATTGAACGCTTCTTTATATATTTTTTTACTTAACCAACTCTGCCAAAATGTCTTTAAAGAGCTATGTTTATAAATGCTGATTTATGATATTTAATTTGTATATGAAATATGGAAGTAAAGGCACTCAAAACGAAATCAGGTAAAGGCAAAAAAGTAGTCCCATCAAAGACCTAGACTAAAGTATATATTCAAATTGAGCCGACTGTATTTTAATAGCCGAGTCTTCGAAACCAGATTTTTGTATAAGTATTTCCAAGAATTATTTAAAGTACAGCGCAAACGACCTTAAAAAATATTTGGAAATAAATACATAAAGCACACGGCACGGCTCCCACGACAGCCAGTTAGTCGGTTTTTTCGGCGATCTAACTCAGTTTAGAGGAGCAGCAAAAATTAGCAACATACTTATTGGAACACTAAATTTTCTCAGACAAGAACATTTTTATGAACAAGCATATTTGATTTCTTTGTATATTACATGTGTAGCAATCGCTGTTTTGAACAGAATACTTAACTGCTGTAGATTATACTGTCTAAACAAAACGTCTTTTTTTTTTTGCCCCACCTCATCCATTCCCATAACACTTCCAGGTATTTTTTTAAATTTAAAGATAATTTTTTATTTGTTTAAAAAACAGGTTTGCAAGTCAGATTAAAGTTAATTATTAACATAATCACTTAAATTCTCGATGGATACAACATCTGCAAATAGAAAATACAATTATTAATAAAAAATTATTATCTTAATTCAAAGTTTCACTTCGACACTTACAATGCGAATGCGGTGACCCATGGCGTGACCAGGCAAATTTCTGTTGAAACGGGCACGCACAGATCCAGTGTTTCCATGCAGGCGGGTCACTTTACCCCAGATGGCGCGAATTCTGGTCTTGCGTTCTGGGTGTTGTGGCACGCACTTCTTTGTCTTAGCTTTGTAAACATACACACAACGCTTGCCAATGTAGAATTGACCGTGTTCCTTTCGACGAGCACCTTCAATCTATCAGTTAAAAGCATGTATTATTTATAAATACTTTACACCTTCATTCATTTGCAATACATACCTTCAAGATAGCCTGGCTTTCGTGTTGGTTGCGGAGACCACGCTTGTAACCAGTGAACACTGCCTTGGCAAAAAGACGTCCATGACGCTTATATTTGGGTGCAGCCACGGGAGTGGTAGGCTTCTCAAACTTGGGGGCTTTAGCTTTGGGTGCCTTAACCGCCTTTGGAGCTTTTGACGCTGGTGCAGCAGCGGGTTTTGCTTGTGTGTCAGCCATTGTTAACTACAATTTATTGAGAACAAATATGTAATTTATCACATTTAAGTTGAACTCCCTAAATAAAATATACGCAAGTAGTCGACCACACTAAAAGCAAACACTCTCCCAATCTGTATACTTATGCACAAATCAACCACTACACAATTGGTAATCACAGTAAGAATTTTAATCCAAGAACATCACAATTCTTTCAGTTGCTTTCACATAGCCAACTACTTGCGCACACAGAAAAACATTTAATTTCTCGTTTTCAGTAGGCATTTTAACGAGTATGAAATGTTTTTCCATAATAAAAAATATTTTAATCGAGAGATATAAAATTCGCGTACGTACCGGAAACTTGACAAATGGAAAGAAAGGAAAAGAGAAGGGATGAAAGCACCAAAGAAATGTCAAAATCACACATTTGATGGAAATATTTTCCATTCATCTCAAATGCCTCAAAATAATCCATTATAAGTGTGATGCCATTTATTTAAATTTGGTGTAATGTTGTTGATTGAAGATGTCATTTTGACTTAAACTATTTTTCACCTTGGTATCTTCGCGTAATAATTTTAAATATTTTATAATATAACAGAAGTTCTATAATTTCAAAGATATATTTTAAAAGTCAGTAAGAATTTGAATATGTAATTTGACTGAAACTATATATGACAAATAATTCCATTTCAATTCATAATTTTTGGGCCTTGTACACAATTTCTTTTGGTTTTAGTTTTTCAATTATCGCATATTTTTTATCCTACTTGCGTTAAACATATCGCGAAAACAATTTATTATATAGGCTGTGTGCTAAATGGTAACATTTTTCGCTGTGTTGAGTTGGGGTGAAAAATTTTCCAATGGTGTTAGCAAATTTTCCTATGGTGTTTTGCTGTGTCTATTGGAAAGTAAAATTATATTATTGAAGTTCAAAACAAACGCAATTGCATCGTTTGGGTGTTTGGATTTAGATTATTAAATATATTGTAACGAACACGGATGAAAGAATAAAATCGAACAGACGATAAATTGCCAGAAGCAACTATACAACAAATTCGTAGTTGCCAGAATGTTCTAGAGACGAAGTTTTGTTAAAGTTCTACTGTATAAGGGCTGCCGGATTGTGTAGCTAACACAGTTCTAGTTAGAGTGTTGTCGTGTTAAGAGCAATTGATACATAAGCAAGAAGTGGTAAGCTCGAATAACGAGCAATAATTGAATTGGAATTTTTCTTTAACATTCCAGTGATCGTACTCAAGAGTGAGTTACAAGGTAGACGATTTATCGAGAAATCCGTTATCTCGAAATATCTTAATATGTGTGTAAATAATTTTGATAAAAACGGTAACACTTGTTTAATCTTTTAAAATGTCATATCAAAAAGAACTGAACCATAAGGGGATTCCCTTTTCTATACAACTTTTATATAATAGTGAAAAGTAATACTTTTTGAAACAATTAATATTGATCTTAAATGCAAAAATTTCAAAAATAGGGCCGCTAAAATTATTTGCATACCAATTTAGAAGTAATAGATATAAATGACATTTTATATATTAGAAATGACTTATACCTTTTTTTGAACTTGGCAATACCGCTAATATATCTACAAAAACAACAATAACAAACAAAACAAAACCATTTCACCATTCTAAATAAAAGTTTTGTGTTGTGTAGTTGTGTTGTGAAGTTTGCCTTGCTAATAAAAGTAAAGTAGCACTTTAACTTGGTAAAACTGCGTAGTAAATTTATTTAATACAAATATGAGCAAAAAAATTGATCACCCAGAGCTGCGTGCACAGTTAGAAACTCTGAACAACAAAGAATTGCATTACAAATGCGTTGAATATGGCATGAATGTACCAGTTGCAGACTCAACACGCGATGTCATCATACGCAAATTAATAAAATCGATCACCGGTGATACAAACTTAGCATCGCCCAAGGCCACTAAAAAGCAAGTTGCTTCGCCAAGTGAGCGTCGGAAGACCGTAAATGTGACTGTGCACGTATCCAGCGATGAGGAAGAAGCGGGAAGACAAAAGCAGCGATCAGCAATTAAAAATAAAACACGCACCCAGTCTCCAAAAGGCCATAACGTAACATTTGATACAGCGCTGAATAATAATCGTGATAAAACTGAGGCAACAGCAAGAACGGTACAACAAAAGGCCAAAAGTGCTGATACAAATGCCAATATTGGAATTGGATTTGGCAACAGGGCAAGAATTGTGCCTCTTGAAGTGCATTCTCCAAATAATATTAATCACGATTTTGATGAAATAGAAATTGTCCCCAGTGATCTCGATGATGGATATAAATCTACTTCAACAAATTTGAATTTTAGTCAAACACGTACTTATGGGCAAGATCGAAGAGAGATCCCTATCAGTAGCTACAAATCATCATTACCAAATTTGGGATTTAGCCAAACACGCACTCTGAATACTTCTCATCAACAAAATGACGCCGAAATACCAAAACAAGGATTCTTTTCAACTCCGGAGCATATCACTAATAGACCAGTTGGTTTTTACAGTTCAGGATCTCCAACTAATTCTTTCAATATTGAAAATATGGCCAGTCATTCATCGACACTTGGTAGTAGTTTGGGAGGTTCATCATCATACTCAAAGGATTTAGTATTCAAACGTCCAACAGCACTTTCTAAGTCTAATGTAACTAATACCACTTACAATCAGGCGGATGCACAACGTTTATATCCACGGTTACCAACTGATTTGCCCACGCCCTCATTGTACACAGCTTCTCCGCCGCCTACACCGGATTCTCATATGTCTACTAATTTTGGTCGAGCGCCCTCTCTGACAAAGTCAGGGGTGATGACGACTTCATATTACCAGGAAATTACACCTGTTAAAGAAGTAAAACATTTTGAAGTAGAAAGTGATGAAGAGCCCTCGATAGATGGTGCTGGTGATCGTAACCGTAAAACCATGCCTGCCACTACCAATTACGATCGAACTAGCTACGTTGCGGGCATTCAACGTGGCTCGGAAGCGCATTTGCCCTTTGAACCTCATTTAAATATATCCTCGCGCTATGCGAGCGCTCCTTTGAACAAAGAATCATATATTCCAAGTAATACATCACCCAAAGCACAGTCGTCACCAAATGTGAAACGCTACTCTACAACAGCACGAGCAAATACTAGTTACACACGCAGCGTTGATGAACCTGACAGCTGTTCGGAGGGTGAACAATTGTCCGGCGATGAGATATATGTACAGGACAGCGATGAGGAAGAATACTTGTCTGACGGTAGGAAAATATACAGCAGCTATGGCAGCAATAAAATACAAGAGCGCGTACCATATCGACGCAGCAACTCAGGAAGGCTAAGCGCATCACCGCCCAGTCCACGTTACAGTTCAGCTGCAATGGGACGACACTCACTAAATGCCGACGACGATGACGATGATGTTAATGCTTCGTTAAGATACTTTCTAACGACGTTGGATCGCAAATATCATATTAAACAAATGTTGTATATGTTTGCCGTATTCGCAAGTGCCGTGTTTATATATGTAGTTTTCTTTGAGAAGACTGCAGTTGGTGAAGACAGCTCTTGATGTGTAGGAAATGTTAGAAGAATGAAACTACAAACCGGTCGTTATAAATTGCTAAGCTAAATTGACTAGTTCGAAAAGTAAAAAAAAATATTAAGTTAAAACTAAATATTCACGTACATATAAACTTAGACCATCAAAATTGCTTATATTCAAAATTAGTTGTGTAATATGTTATGTGTAATGACAATTTAGCTTTTTCGTATAAATAAATCTAATTTTTGTATATATGATTAAAAAGTAAAGATATAAACTTTTTTCGTTAGCCAAATAAACATAATCGTAAATAAATAACTCTATCTACATAAATATTAAAAATAATACTCAAATCCAAAAAAAATATAAATTAAGGTGAATAATTCAAGGAGAAAATTACAAATTTTGTTTCATTATGTTCTTATTTGCTGTTAATTCTTTTAAATACATTTATATATTCGTATTTTTATCTGTTTGTATGTAATGCACAATATTTCGTTTTTGTTCAAAGTAATAAAGCGCTAATACGCACGCAGAAAGCAAACTCAAATGTGTTTATTATTATTTTAGTATTGCTGACGTCATCGATTTGTTTGGGACCACTCATTTCAGCAATATGCTACTTATACTGCGTCATCACAATAGAAGAACCGGTTAACGTTTTAAGATGAAAAATGGACGATAGCAAAATTTTAATTTCCGATTTTTATTTATATTATTTATTCATGACCTCCAAAACTTTTACACTGAAATGCATTTGGTATGTACATATACTTATACATGTGTATGGATTAATTTAAACGTTCCGAAAGAAAGCATTTGATGAAGATTTCTCCATAGATTTTTCGAAATCATCAAAGAATCATAGACACTTTCCAAACGATTTGTACGAATCTCAAAATTAGAATTTTACTCCCGAAGATGCAAGCAAAAATATTAATACTTCTTAATGCTTTAAAACTAACAAAATCCGAGAAAATACCCTTTACAGGTATTTAATAATAAATACAGTCAAACATGGTTACGCGAGAGTTCAAGGGGCCATGATTTTTTTCTTGCTTATAGAGGTTTCTCACTAAAACGACAACACGTTGATTTATCGTTTAGAAATTGTAAGTTGTTGTAAGAGCTGTACTGTTCGTTGCAAATAATATTTATAAACTGCAGTGAGCATGACAAATATGTTAATACAGTTAAACATTATTTCTTTAAATTACAAGAAAACAACATAGTTCCTGATTCCTGAAAAAAAAGAATAAGTCATACATAGGAAAGTTGTCGCTTATAGAGGTATATACAAAAAAGGCTCTCAGTTATAGAGTCCAGAGTGGAAAACGTCTGTCACGTCTGTAAGGTTTTTGTTTCTTATTCATAGAGGTTTTTGAGAGGTCAAAGTTCGGGTCCAGAGTATTATTCTCACTTATTGAGTTTTCTCGCTTACCCAGTTCTCTCTTGTATATATAAATATATCCTTTAACTTTTCAGATTTGCACCAAACAAGATAAAATAATAAAATAACGTACATATAGATATGTAATTTTTCAAAGTTATAAATTTGTTTTATTGTGTAATAAACATTCTCATTTTATTTTCATAACCTCAAAATGCTTTTGATTTCATATAAATATCCAATTTAACTGTTAATTGTATAAATACATATATTCTTTTTAACATAAAAAATAGGAGAGAAAGTTCATTATTTAGCCTACTATTTACAAATAAACTCAATTGAAATTATACGAAATCTCATTAGAGAAGTACAAATTTAGATATCATTAGATTTAGTTTAAGCGGCGTGACACTGTTATGGAAAAGCTTTTGTGTACGCTAAAAATTCTTTGAGCGTTTAGTGTGTTACAGCGTTAAAAGTTTACAGCTTACTTTACAAATATTGTACAAAACCATATCGATTTACAATTTTGCAAACTGCTATGTATTAAATTAAGAAGATATAAAATATTTACCCACAATCGAGAGTGTACGCAAACAATGCACACGCTCTACTCATATGATCACATGGCAACATCAACGCATGTTCTTCACGCAGACTTAATATTATTACTAATTAAATAAAATAGAAGAGACCTAACAACAAACCGACTAAGGCTAAGTATATGCTAATGTTTTTTTACTTGTAACTTTTGCCTGAGGGTTACGGTACGTCTAGTTGAAATGGAATTTGAATTGGAACGGTGACCCGTGATGGAAGTGCGCAAATGGACTGCCGCCGCGGAAGCCCCCTTGCTGTTGATTTGCTTCTGGATCAAGAGGATCTTGACCCATATCGAATTGTTTTCGTTTCTCGGGATCAGTCAGTACTTCTTTGGCCGCCGCGATATCAATAAACTTCTTTTCTGCGATCTTTTTCTCCTCATCTTTGAAGTTATCGGGATGCCATTTTTGTGCCGCTTTGCGGTACGCTTTAACAATTTCTTGCTTGTTAGCGGTGCGTTTCACGCCGAGAATTTTGTAATAATCCCGTCGTTCAGCTTGTTTTTGCAGTCTTTTTGCTTTTTCAATACCCTCCTTAGCACGTTGCAGATTTTCATCCATTTCCAATGCTCTTTGGTAATCGTGGATCGCATCGTCGTACATTTCTGAACCAATATAGGCGTCAGCGCGTTCACAATATAATTGCGGGTCTTTCAACAAGTCGAGCGCATCTTTACAATGACTTAAAGCTTTGGCAAACTGTTCGTCTCTTGTATAACATGTGCAGAGTAGTCGCTTAGCCTCGAAAATTATCATTTTTTCGTTTTTCTCTTGCTTTAGCACAGACTCAGAAGAACTAATGCAATTTGCATATTGTTTCTCCTCGCGTGAATTTTCGGCATTTGCCAAACTTTTTTCTACTTTTCTAAGCTTCTTATAGAAGGGGAAGCAGTCTTTATGTTCTGGATCAAGATGTAAACATTCACGTATCTCTTTCAACGCATTTGTAGCTTGACCCATTTTGTACAATAACAATGCAATGTTATAATAGCCTTCTGTGCTGTCCTGTGAGAGTTTGTTCACTGAACGGAGATCGGATATGGCAGATGGTAGTTCATCTATGGCAATGTAAGCGTCAGCGCGTGCTTGACGGAACTCAATGGACCATGGAGATATTTCAAGTAATTGTGTAATCATTGGAATGATATTGCGCGAATCGCCTCTATACCTAAGATCCTTTACAATTTCCCACTGTTCAATAGCAGCGTCAATCCGTCTAAAGTGCTCATTGACACTCTCATTATAAGGATCTTCTTGCAGCTGATAATGTAATATCGTATGAGTAAAAGTTTACAATTAGGTTTGGAGTTGTACTCACCACATGTTCGAAGTCGTCACTCGCTTGTTCGTATTCTCCACTCTTTAAATGCACAATACCACGCTGTATACGCGCAGCGGCGAAATCAGGCTTTAATTCCAATACATGAGTGAAGTCTTGTATGGCGAAACGGGACTTGCCTAACGCTAGGTAAACGGTGCCCCTTTTGAAAAGCGTCAAATAGTTATTTGGATCGCCCTCTAAAAAAGCAAGGATTACCAAATAAAATTAATTAATTACTTTCTATCTAATAACACTGTGGTTACCCACCAACAGCTGCATGATAATGTGTTAGTGCATCTGCTAGCTGCCCTCTCGCTAAAAATTCTTTACCTAGCTCCAGATGATTTTCAATGTCAGCCTGATTGGGCACAGCGTCTGCACCTGCAAATGTTAAGGTTATGTTAGAAAATTTGTTATCTCTTTTGGTAAGCACAGCAAATATAGTTTGTTTGCACAGTTGGCATAATGTCAAGAAAATTTATTAAAAAATTATTTAAACAAAACTTTAATTTGTGTCATTATTCAGTCATTAGGCAGTAAACACTGATTTTAAGGTTGTAAACCATTTGAAACTTAACAAAAAGACTTACCTTCTAGAAATAGTTCTAATAACAACAATAAAACACAAGCTGCCAGCTTTCTTTCTCCGCTGGCGAAAGGTAGCATATCATTCAGCGGCACAACCATTGTTTTGGCCTAACTCTAATGAAGCTTCCACCAGTCGTTGTTGTTAAATGTATTTAAACTCCAAATATAATGTATAAGTGCTACGTGTATGCTTCCACTTTCTAAATATTCTTTGTTTTGCAGTTTCATCAACTGCCTACAAAGATATGTACATATGTATGTTTCCAAAACTTTGATTTAGAATTTTTTTATTGACGATAATTTTAAAAGTAAATAATTTCATACGTCCATTTCACGAAAACTATAATAAGCTGTTATATTTCTTCTTTCACTAACGTCTTTACCAAATACTTGCGAATAATAAAATAAATACTGGCAGTATTATACTATTTAACTAAACTTTTTTCTTATTCTTTGAGTAGCTTCTTGTCAAATACACGTCAGTCGATTATATTTTTAGTTCTTGCGCAACAGCTCGATGCTGCATGGCCTTAAAAGCTGTGTGCGAGACAGAAACAGTAGGTATATTACTGATTATCCGGCATGAAACAGTGTTGCATTCTTTATGTGGTTCTCGCTGATTGGTTGTTTGAGCTTGGTTTGTTATCAACTTTGCGAATTTACCTTCTTGACCATAGGTGTTATGGGTGCATCGATACTGTTATTTCATAAAGTTATTTCCGGTCAGATTTGTTTTAGAATTTCATAAAACAACAATAACGATTAGATATATTAAAATGGGATGGAACAATTTTATTTCTTTATATATTTTCGATCTAATCAAACTGAGTACGTACTACAGTAATAAATTTTTTAACAGATCAGAATTGGGTTGAGTATAAAATTCCTCAGATTTTTTGTAGATGACTCAATAAGGAGCAGTGTTACTATTAATAATAACAGTCATAACCAAATTGTTAACTTTTTTAATGTAAATTTATTTAATCATTATTTAAGCATTTTTGATTGGAATTTATAGAACAGAAAAGATCTAACTCTACTGTAGGTATACATATGTGTGTATGTACATATGTATGTACATTACTTACCTTACTTTAATCGAAGCCTAAAGAAATGAAATTTGTTACATAAATATATATTTCATATATTTTTAATTTTCAACAATGTACATTTGTATGTATGCATTTATTGTTTTAATCGAGTTTTTTTACATACCTATGTACATAATGTAAATACTGTAAAGACATTACAGAATTTTTTGTTCATCTAAATTTTAAAAAAATAAATTAAAATATGATAAAAGTAATTGTGGTTTTTTCAGTAATTGTTTGTAGAAATTAACAAACAACATTTTCTACTTGTAAAAAGAAAAACGAAAACAAAGTAAATATTTTAAAATTAAAATATTGATTAATTATATATTAAATAATTCTATTATAACATTTGTAAATATTATCGCATCTTTTTTTAATAGGACAAATGGATATTTTGCATTTTTTCTTTATATTTTCTTTCGTTTCAGTGAACTTTTATATTACGTATAGTTATATTAAAATCTAATAAATACGTACATATTTTTTTCATAAGATAGGGCATTTTTAAGATATATGTACCTATATAAATATCTTTCAAATAGTCATAGATTATTAATAATTCGTTTTCGACAATTTGACAATTTTGAGCATTGCACAGCACAACTGAAATTGTTTTAGTAAGTAATATACAGCTATAGTTTACATATATTAAATAAGTTCATCTTAAAACATATTTTAATAGTTTTAATATAATTTCTAATACATACCATATATAATTTTACTAATTATTAAATATATACATGTATGATATATTGCATATCAATTTAGTGTACTTTATATATTTTTTTCATTTTTTGCTGCAATAAATATATAATAAACCATAATTATTCCGCTAAAAAACACGAGTAATATGCTTTAAGAGTTTCATTATCACCATCGTTAAAATTCACAAACTACCGCTACAAAACATTGCTATTAATTTCCTTTTTTATAAAACTACGGTTATCTAAATAATTTCATAAAATACAATAAATGCTTTTTACTAAATTATTTAATACGGTACCTAAAGAATTGAGCATTCATTCAAGTAGTTGCTCTTAGTCTCTTTGTGTAGGTGTAAGTATATGGTACATACTAAGTTATGTATATATTTCTTTTTAATTTTGTCTATTAGTTTTTATTTATTTGATCCGTCTCAATTGTGTTACGTATGTTTGTGTAAATTTCTGCTACTGTTTGCGTTTACGGTGAGCCATTGTGTGCGTATTATTGTGTTTGTGCATATCCCTTTTCGTAAATATAAATATGCATATGCATGTATAAGAAAGTACACGTCAATGTCATTCAAACATTTTCTTTAGTGAATTCCCTTGAATGCTTGCTAGTTTTGGAACAACTTCTGCAGTATTCTTATATGAATCTAATTTTCAAGTGATAGATGGTCTTACTAAATATTTACCCAGTACAAATGGTGTAATAAAATCCTGTTTACGAAATTTTATGTGCTGATTTTAAGTAGCGTTTTTTGAGATTAGCCCGGGGTAGAGGGGAGTTGAAAATTTTGGTTGAAAGTTTTCAGCTTTCTAAATATGTGTATCTTGATAATAAATGTAATTTATTGTTTATTATGCATGTTCATGAGTTAAAAAAAATACTGAGAAGTGCAAATAAACCACGCTTTGAAAAAGCAATATTTACTTGGGCAAATCTCCTGTTAGTTAAGTGCATATAAAATAATCGTTGCCCATCTATTGTTCGTATAGTTGTTCTTCAAAGGCATCCATATTGTAATCCTCAAGATTTGTTGTCTCCGGATCATGATTTTTCATCATATGAGCTGAAAATAATATATTGTATTTAAGCTTGTTTAGTAATGTCTACTAGCTTTTATGAATAACTCACTTTTGAATTTCATGTGCGTAACAAAATTTTCGCCACACAAATCGCAGCGGTAGTATGTATCGCCCGTGTGTACTCGTTCATGCACACGCAGGGATTTCTCAAAGAGGTAGGCACGTCCGCAGATCACGCATTTGAAATTTTTCTCAAGGACTACAAAAAGAAGTAAAATTATAAATTATAATATGGTTAGCATTCATGAAAAGTTTAATATGTTATATATATATATATTTAACTTAAAAACTTAAAAACATGAAAAAACGTTAACTTCGGTTTACAAAAGATTCCATACAAGAACTTGATTTTGATCGGTCAGTTTGTATGGCAGCTATATGTTAAGTGGTCCGATCTGGACAATTTCTTCGAAGATTGTGCCGTTGCTTTGGAAAAAATCCATGCCAAATATGCCTATGAAGATATCTTGTCACATAAAATAGTTTTCCTTATAAGACTTAATTTTGATCGCTTAATTTGTATGGCAGCTATATGTTAAAGTAGTCCGATATCGGCGATTCCAACAAATGAGCAGCTTCTTGTGAAGAAAAGGACGTGAGCAAAATTTCAAATCGATATCTCAAAGATATAAACTGAGAGATTAGTTCGCGTATATACAGATAGACGGACAGACAATTCTCTCTGAACTGTAAAAACTTCGTGGCAAACTTAATGTACCATATTCAGGGTATAACAAGTATATGACTCCAAAACTTTGAATAAAGCCGATTTAGATTAGTGTTCCTAGTAGGCGGTTTACTCTTTTTTTTAAGCAATGTAACGGCAATCTTTATTACAATACAGTTAACAATCCCAAAAAAATGAAGTAGAAGGCCGGTCATGAAACCCGCCCAATAAAAGCTTTTGACTTGATATTTTGATCAGAGATGCTTTTCTGGAACAAGTAAGGAGGCTTTGTTGTTGTCGCAAGATGTAAAGAAGTCATAAATGCCTCTGCATGAATACTTATGTATTGTTGAATGTCATTTGTTGAATATCCACAATTAATTTCTAAAATGTCTTCACTTGCAGCCTGTTACGGTAATGCATGTAAATATATGGCAGGTACTAAAATGTTATATGAAGTGATTTTTGTATAGCAAGAATGTACGAGTATGTACAACTTTCACTCGTTCCCATTCTGAGGGAGAAATTTATGAATGAAATTTGTCATTTTAACACTAAATAATTTAGAGGAGAACGACTTAGTTTTACTTATCTGGTTGAAATTAGTCAGACATCTCGCATCTCTCACCTTCATGGCTCCGCTTGTGCTGATTCAGCACATATTTCAGGGCAAATCCTTTGCCGCATACATCGCAAATGTTCGGCTTCTCGTTCGAATGCGTCTTCATGTGCCAATTCATATCCTGCGCACGCTTGAAACGCTTCGCACACGACTCCACCGGGCATTTGTGCGGTCTCCCAATACTTGAATGCACCGCCGCGTGCCGCTCCAACGCCGATTTCATATTGAAACGCTGGGCGCAAATCTCACACTGAAAAATTCCGCTATAGTTCTTCTGTCGCTTATTACGCACCACTCGTTTATTGTTCGCTATTAGCAGCACGGAAGACTTCGGCCTTTCAACATGTTTGCTACGTATGTGTTCGATCAGATCGCGTTCATCCTCGTAGCGTTCCCGGCAGAGCATGCATTCGGTGCGTTCGATGCCGGTGAGGTTCTCCAAATGATTCTCCAGCATGTGTATGCGCTTCTCCAGGTACGAAGCGAAAACTTGGTGGGAATTGCATAAGAATTACGTTATTTGTTATTGCACGGACATGAAATTTAAGTAAGTTTGAATGATTGCTTCTTATGACATGAACAATATGGGAATGCCAGGTGATCGTTGGTTTTGTGTTGGGAGTGATGTACAATTTCAATTTATGTGTGTATTCTAGGTAAGTGCTGCATGACTAAGTTATCTGGGTTCTAAATCTAGCCTCTTAGTTTCTTCATTCTGATCAGTTTTGTAAATATATAATTGGTTCTGACAATTTGGTAAGACGACGAAAAAAACTAATTACATTTGGTCAGTTGCCTTTTATTTGCATCAGAAAGCAAAATTTATAAAGAGCAAAAATAGAAAAAAATAATGTCTCTCTAAATTTAAAATTGATAAATTTAGATATTCTAATGTTTATGTAACGATAATAAAAAATGGCGAGAGTAGTAGAATAATAACTATTTATGAGACATGAGATTTTTATGAACTGCCCTAATATTTTGTTGAAATGTAAATAATCTAATTCAAATAAATCTTCTTAAAAACGAAAAAAACAAATATTAAATTATTTATATCGGAAAGTGAAATCGTGTAGGTATAGCTTTTGATTACGTCTTATTAGTTCAAAAGACCTACATATGTATATTGCAGTTTCATTTCGAGAAGTCAGGATCCCTACTTAAGGCTATAAAAACTTTTACTATAGTTAAATTAACTTGATAAATGATCCGAGGGACGCCGATTATGAAATCAAATTCTAAATCATTATTTATAAGTTATCGCAAATTAATTAATGCCTGTTATACAACATACCATACTTAATAACTTTTTAGTATACAAAACATGAAAAAACGTCAACTTCAATTGCATCGACTTTATAATACCCTTCACAAGTAAAAAAGTTTTCCACACAAAAACTTGACCTTGAGCATTCAGTCATGATAGCTATATTCTATAGTTGTCCGATATCGGCGGTTTCGACATATGAGCAGGTTCTAGGACAGAAAAGGTCGCGTGCAAAATTTCAGATCGATACGTTTCCTTATAGGTGTTACAATATTTATAATTCTCAAGAATTGGGACTGTCTCAAACCACAACCTGGCGGATTTTGAGAAAGGATTTGAGCTTGCATCCTTTACAATTTACTGATTTTGCCTTCGAACAACTTGAAAACGATAACGACTTTTTTAAGAAAATCATCTTCCCCGATAAGGCTTACTTTCATCTGAGTGGTGCGGTAAATTAACAAAACTATCGATTCTGGTGCGAAGAAAATTCAGAAATTATTCATGAACAATCATTACATTCATCTAAATTGACAGTTTGGTGTGGTTTTTGATCTGGTGGATTTATCGGTCCGTACTTCTTTCGAAATGAAGCTGGTCATATCGTTACTGTCAATGGAGAACGGTATAGATCGATGATAACCAAATTGTATGGCCGCAATTGGAAGAAGTTGATCTTGACAACATCTGGTTCTGCCAAGACGGGTCTACGTGACACACGAATTATTGCGAGAAAAGTTTGGAGATTCGATCATTTCAATAAATTGTGACATTGAAGTTGTGATTTAACACCATTTGACTACTTCTTGTGGAGTTATTTGAAGTCATTTTTCAGAACTTAATTGTATCGATTGTGCTTCATATTAAATAAAAAACATTTGAATTTCCTTAACAATTAGTGTGTTTTTGAAAAAAAATCATATGACTCTTATTGGGAAACCCCTTTATATGTATTTTATGGGGTCTGCGACATTTCCTTCAGGGAATAAAAACTTAAAGCCAAGATTGACATACATACTGATTGTCGAATAGATAGAAACGACTTCAAATATGCTATATACATATATATATATTATATGGCTATAAAATATCTCAATCGTTTCTAACGATCTCGAGTGAAAAAAATATTTCAAAGTGCACGGGGAAAAGTTGCAACATGCAAAATGCATATGTACATATGTATATGTTTATAAATAATAGATTAAAGAAATATAAAAAAAAGTAGAATAAAATGTAATTATTACATAACACAGAATGATTACTTTTACCATTGTCTATATTTGAAACGAAGTTATACACTATTCTCACTGCAACTTGAAAAATGTATCCTTTGTTGTGATAAAAAGTGGCGTACACATACACGTACACATACGAGTACTTGTGATGAACGATAAATGAATTTGAAAAGTTTGTGTGGATGAATGAACGTATGAATGCATATTATTATTATTATTGTCTTAAATGAGTTGCAAAAGCCGGGTAAAGCTTTGCTTACCCTCAGTGCAGTGGCCGCACTTGTATGGTTTTTCGCCGCCATGTTGTCGATACAAATGCCAACGCAAAGTTTTCAAGTGTATGAACGCTAGGGAGAGATTTTTTTTTAATAACAAGTGAGTATAAGTGAAGCATATGTACAAATATGAACAATAATTATACGGTCCTCAGCAAAGTAAGGTCAGAAAATATGTTAACTTCATTTCTAAACAATCATATTGTCAGATCGGGCCAAATTATTTTATCTTTACAACCTTTAAAAGAAACAAATTATTGTAAATGAAGGTAAAACTTGAGATTTTCTAGCAAGAACAAGAAAAAATAATATTCATTGTAAATAAAAACACATTTTCAGTTAAAATCCATTTCAACATTTCTCAACAAACAGACTTTCGCACAGTAATGAAGCCACTAATAAAGTATGAAAGATTATAAGAAATGTCAAAAATTTGAGAATTTACATTACCATATTTTTACAAAATGTCATTATAATTACTAAATTTTCGGCTTTAACGGTTCTTCGTAAAAACCAAATCGTTTTTACAAAGTCTACAGTTGATGACTGAAAGAGAAGTGGTTGTTTTCGCGTGGTTCGAACCAATTCAGCCATAAATTACTCGCGAGCGCATGCGCAGAAATCCCCATAGAAAAGAAATAGTTATGTCAAGGTAAACGGATGTGTTGACTAGATTAATGTCAAGACTCATTCGAGATGATCTGCTCTTCAGAGGCATACAGTCAACGGGCATGAAAGTATCCATTTTACAGATGAACAAATTTTCACTGTTGAAAAAGTTTTTAATAAGCAAAACGACAAAATCTATGCAAATACTTCCAAAGACGCAAAAAATGTTATTGCAAGGGATCAACGTGGTCACCATCCAGTTGCTGCAATGGTTTGGTTTTGGGGCAAAAGTGTGCCATCAGGATGCGTGGTAAAACAATTAAGCAATTTGGAAGCCCAGATTTGAATCCATTGGACTACAGTTTGTGATCAGAATTCGGGAAAATGGTCTGTTGAATACCCCACAGAAATTTGGTGACTCAAAAAATTTTCAGTTCGAGCAGTGTCGTCAATACCAATAGAAAGTGTGCATTTTGCTATTGATCAATGGCTCGTTTGAGCTCTAGTATGAAAGCAGAAGGTGACCATTGCGAATAAAATTTTGTATATCGCTCATTTAATATATGCATTTTTCAATAAAAATAACTTTATTAAGAAATGTATTATAATTTCATTTGTATATTGGCCTGAACTTGTAACAGAACAAATGGCAGGACAAAATATCATATATACACCCGGCTCTATACGTATGAACGCGTCACCTTTTGAAGGCAGAGAGGGAGAAGCAGGCAATAATTAGCCCGATATTACATAGTAAAATAATAATATCTGAAAATCCGTAATCAATAAAAAGAAGGTATTGAAGCCAATTTCTACTTGGTGTAAAAGATGCTGAAAAATGTTTACATGATAATTGTATGCATACATGACTAACAAATTAAACAAGACTATTTCTATAGTTACTTTAGGGACTTCTAAAGTACTTTTCATTCTAAACTTCTTTCGCTGATATACTTAGATATACATATGAATTACTTATACAACCAACAAGCTTTTCAGCAAGTTTGCAATTTATAACCGCTAACATATTTAGTTATACATATGTTTACTTACTTTTACCACAAAACGTACAAAATTCACTATTCCTCACCCCGTTGTGCGTTTCTTCATGACACTTCAAGTGTCGCTGATTAATAAACAAACGATCGCAGTGACTACAATGCAACAACAATTCCGGATTGTGCCACTTCATATGGTAATTAAGACTTTTACGCGAGTAGAAACGCTTATCGCAAGTGTCACACCCAAAATCGGTCTCGCTGTGGAACTTCTCGTGGTGATGGCGTAAGTTAAAGCGATCGGCATACTTTTTGCCGCACACATCACACTCATAATGTTTGGCCACGTGCTCGCTTTTCATGTGGACCGTGCGTGAGGCGGCGTCGCGAAAACCCTCTGTGCAACCGCGTTGCGGGCATGTAAAGGGATATTCGGCGTTGTGCGTGTGTGTTATGTGTTCGAGTAGTGTCTGTTGAGTTTCGAAATGAGTGCTTGGCACGTCTTTGGTTTTGTGGCAGTATTTACACTCAAAAACAATGCTAACATCTGGTGGTTGGCCCATTGTTTGACTGTAGCACTTGCTCGTAGCAGACGACTGAAAGACAAATTGTGAACCTAAAATAGTATTGTTATTTGTATTGTAGGTGTTCGTTGGAAGTGTGACGGGTTCGAATGCTTCCAATACTCCTTCATCTTCTTCATAAACGTCATTTTCATCTTCAACAGCTTCCACAAAAGGCACACTTTCTTCGGCATAACCTTCAGGTTGTGACACATCTCCGCTCATTACATTTAAATAGCAGTCTTCCTGAGTAAGGTCTCGGTCCAATGATCTGTCTGTACCTAATGTTGTCTCTGCTTTCTCCTCCACCAGTTGGTCTTCAAGCGTAAAGTCTTCCTCAATTATATCATCTACGTGTAAATGTATTTGCTCGCTTATATCTTCCTCTTCGTGTTCCAGTTCTAATTCTATTTCATTTTCGTTTTTATTTCCTTCTTCTACTTCGTTATCGACTGCCATTGTTTTAACAGTTACAGTCGTCAACTTTGTCATCTGCATTTCCGCTTCACTTTGACATTCAACGCCGGCAGTGTAAATGTTAGCTTCAGTTATGGGGGCAGCAGTTGCATTATTCTCGTTTGTTATTGAAATTGTTTTTGCCAAGAAAGAGTCTTCGATTGTTTTGGGTGAAACCTCTGTTTGGACTGCTAAAATGTCATCAGTATACTGTTCGACTCTCTCACACACTCCACTGGATCTAGTCGTTGCAGTGACGGTTGTGGTGGCGGTGGTGGTGTAATTGTTATCACTATTTTCATCAAGCATATCCAACATCACTATGGCAGCAGCCGAAGGAGTGGCATTGGGCGAAACGATGGAGTCACCACTAGTGGCAGTACAATCAACTATTTGGCAGTTTTGTTCGTTATAAGTTAAATTCGTTATTTGGCGTTCATTTTCTTCGACAATTCGCAACAGCTGAGCACTTAATTCTTCAAGATTATCCTCGAATCGGTCATCGTCCATACTTTGTGTTTCGATTTTGTCGAATATGTTATTTAGCTTCACTTGTGCTTGCTGGCATTGCATGCGAAAGGTGAACACATTACAAAATTTCGAAAAGCAATCGGAACAGATTTTCTGTGGCAATCCGTCGTTGGGGGAAATCTTTGGAGGCGTAATAAAAAAGAAGGATTTTTTTAATGCAAAGGTTTTATATATTTGAGTTTATTAAATTTTTCCACAATGCTATAATAGTAACTATAGTTAAGTGTATTTATGCCCACTAATATAACAAGAGAGGAGGCTACCTATGGTTGAAATCATAAATTCACAAGACTCTTAATTATATTTATGTGAGCGGTATGAAATTTTTCCAGTTATTTGTTGATGCAAAGTGAAAGGTATTTCGTTTAAAATAGTAGTACGTTAATTAACAGCTGTTTTTTGTTTGTAAACAAATAAGAATATATATATATATATATATTTTACTTTTCTCATCACACGTTTCAGACATTCATACCAGCGCACCAAGTGCTTCCGAAGAGAAAACGAGTACTCTCTGAAGGAAGCGCACATTATTGAATTAAAACGAAAAGTAAAATTATCGACCTTTTTTTTCCTTAAAAAAAAGAAACATTTACATGTTATGTGACCTGCTCAAGTGTTTTTCTACTATTTTACATTTTACGGCAACATGATTTCACACATTGGTTAAAACTCATACTGAACCCTATTGAGCCTTAGCAGCTAAAATATTTGTATACCTGCAAATGCCAATTATTGAACTCCACACGCATCTCTTCAATTTCTCTCGTACAACGCGTTGTGTGAAATAAGTCGAACCATTTGGTTTCATCCTCAAAATCACATCTCGCACAGGTCCTGCAAGTCTCCATCGTAGCACCAACATAAATACACACTATTCCTTGCCGTTATTCATGATGCAATGACGCAGTGGTTACACCCTATTATTTCAGCGCAATGACCGCAAAGGCACTAGACACACATTTGCATTTTCGTCAACGATTTTACGACCAAAATGTTCAGCTGTTGGGGCATTTGTACTATTGTTATCCCCAGCACTCTAAGTACATACAGCATGAAATTTATCAAATAAAATTCCACTTTAACTTAATTGCTTTTTCGATTTTTGTTCTTATTTATTTAGCACACATTTTTCGCAAATTCAAATATTACACAAGACGCCTATAATGTTTTATTGCTGCCACTCGCACTACCAAATGCACACTGTTCTTTCTGCTATTTTTACATTTGCTCCCGCGAATTTTCGCATCTTTACAACTCTCGTCGATTTGTATCTACACTCAGTCGCAGCACAAATCCTGTGGGAGGAAATCTGTGAAGAAAATTTCATCCCCCACCTCCTTGATTTGGCATGTGGATGCCTGCACTGCGCGGTGCTTCGCCAACTTATAGTTCCTAGCGAATTGCTCTTGATTTATCGAAGCATATTTGCAGGCGCACATGCAGTTGTCGACCTTCAATGTGTCGTGTATGTGTATGCATATTCTACCGCATTTGTTATTGCTTCTTGTTGTATCTATTTTGCGTTACTTCGCAAAAAACGAAAACAACAAAAACGCGTATGGGAGCAAAACAAAACTACCGATTAACTAAACAAACATTTTACAGCGCTCAGATGTCGCAGCCATATCGTTCTCCCTGCAGCCATATCGTTCCCCCTGCACCCATCTCGTAGGAAGCCGTGTTCGTTGTGTAGAATGATGCCGTTTGTTTACAAACACATTGCGTAGCGGTAAAAGGATGAAAATATCATACGAGAAACTTGTAAACTTCACTTTAGCGAAATAATCAAACAATATTCGTGATTGTTTTCGACCGAATGAACAAAACCGAAATTAAATTAGGAAAATTATGATGCTAAAGGCACTTCAAAAAACTCTTTTTAAAATAGGTAGGTATATAAAAAGTAATTTTTTAAACCTTGTTTTATTTATTTATTTACTGCCGGTTTCGAGAAAATGCAAATAAGTTATGTATTAAAACTATCATACCAGAAAAAATTCCATGAAAGTTGCTATTAGGCCATATTCATATTTAACTGCACAACATACATACATGTATATTAATTTATTTGTTTTTTTTTTGCGCAAATGATCTGTGATTTATATAAAAGAAACGAAATAAGACCTCATGTCGAAATTAGTAAAACCTTTGGAAACCATTATAGGTTCTTATTTCGGGTGGAGCCCTTTAAGAGCCCATGATCGTGAAATTTTAAAGAAAATTCAGGGAAGCCCGAAAATGTTGTCACCGGATTTTATTAAATATACATTTAGGTGTATTTACATATACCTATACTTACATAACTGGTGCCTATTCTGCAAGTTTGAAAGCGACTTCGCGCGGCTTTATGAGAAGCACTCTTTTTCCATAAATACACTGTTAAATTTCACAGACAAAAGCGGACGCTATTAGTCGCTAACAAGGATCAAAGCCGAGATCGATAATAGATCCTAAATCAAGAAACACGGCTTTAATGATAATAAGAAGTACTCGTGGTTTTTCGGAAGATATTAGGTTCTACGTAACCAGATTTAATCCAACCAAGAAATGTTAACTCGCTTGCATTCATGAAAAATAATATTATATTTGGGCAGGGTTGCGAATTTTATCTTAAGATCGGAATAAAAAATAAAATTTTTAAATAATAACATTTAATTTAAGTGAAAATCAATTTTTTAATGAATGATTCATGACATTTGGGATTAAAAATTAAAAAACAATTTATATTTTAATTTAAGATAATGAAAAAAATATTATTTCTAAAACAATTTCTTTTTTGATTCTTAATTATATTCTTGGGATGAAAAAATTATTTATTTAAATATTAAAAATTATCGTCAAGAAACCCTCGATCCTGTAAAGAGCCTTGCATTCGCATAGAAGATGTTTTGCCGTCTCCTCTTCTTCTACCTCTTGACGGCTTCTCCAGTAGTCATTGTCAATCAGACAGTGACCAGAAATTGTTTAATTGTAGGATAGTGTTTATTCTGGCTAGTTCATCTGCTTCACAGTTACCAGTGATGTGAATATGCCCCGGAACCCATTACAGGTTTATCGTGAAATAGGATGTTAAATCCACTAACTTCATTCTTTCACTATCTACGAATCCCTAGGAGACTCTAGTGATTTCAGAGCTGCTTGACAATCTGTATACATATATAAATACATGGAGCGAAGACAAAATTGGGGACCTAATTAAGTTTCAATTCTATAGGATTTCGAAAGTCCGTGGTAATGAGTAGAAATGCGAACTTACTAAGTATTATAAAATGCCCCTTATTACGGACGCCCAATAGATAGGATTCCCTTAGCCTTAGAGCTGACTTCGCTGCAAGTTGCTTACAGAACAAGTCTGTTGGCAGTAAATGTCAAATGACGTATAGTGCCTGACTTGGTGTTGTTCTAAGAGCTCCACTGATGCATATACTAGTTGCTCTTTATATGCTTTTCCATTATTGGCTACCATAGCAATATACCACGTGTCATAATCGGTCCAACAACTGCTGTATAGAGCCGATGAGCTGCTCGAGGCGTAATCTCCATTTGGTCACCACCATCCTTTTGCAGGTGTAAAGTGCTGTTGCTGCTTTCTTCACCCTAGCTTTCCGTGACAACTTCCTATCTAAAATTAGTCCTAAGTAGCTTACCTCATCTCCTATTGTTAATTATTATTGTTGGGATAGTTAAGCTAAATTAAACTGGTTCCTGCAATCTTTCTGTAACTGTAACCTTCTGAGTTCGGTAGACCACCATGGATGCCTAATTCTTCCCCTTCTATGAGTTATTGTACAATCCACATTTAATGCTTGCTAACACGATACTGTGAAATAATCAACGAGGATGTTTAGATCCTCTTTGTTCTTGGGTTGGAAAACGTTTCTTCAGATCTTTACATTCAATTTAGCGATGATCCGAAATGGAGTGTTCCTCAAGAACTCTCCAATTGGTAATTTTATTTATCAGTTCTTTCGACACAAGTTTTATGTCTAATACTTCTTGTCGATTTCTTGTTATAAATGTTGGCGGTAGTATCTCTATTGCAGAACAAAAACTTAGTCCTTAGTAAGTAATTAAAGAGCAACTCATACCAGCTCTTTAATCAGCTGTGATGGTACTTCCTGCATTAACAATTGTCATAACTGCATCTTCTTGAGAGTCGCTCAGAAGCTCTCTCTCGGTATATAATTTAGAGAGTCTGTCCACAAGCTAAGACCCCGAATAACTCCGAAGAACCCCTAGCTCAATGTTATCTACATCACTCGAGGACTCCATGGAATGTTCTTCTACTTCGGCCATCTCATTTTCCGATGCTAAGTCAGCAGCATCGACGTCTGACTTGTATGTCATGAATCCATAGTTAATCTGCCCACCAATTTTCGCCAGCGGTTCTATGGATTCCTTTGTTAGTAGCTGTAGGATCTGCATCGTGGCCCTTTTAGTCTCCCCGTCAGATTTTGTTGCGGAGTCCTCGAAGGCTTTAACGAATCTCTACCCTTCAGTTGGCAGATTTGGGTTGTAGGCTGTGATGAGCTGCATTATCTGGTCCGGCTGCAAGGTTTTTTGTGGATCTTTATCATTCATGCTCCCAATGATAATGCGCTTTTGTGCCATATCAGCACACGATTTTGCGGGCGTTACTCCTCTTGTCTTCGGTCTTTTGGCTGACGGCTTTGTCTCTTCAGCTGACCTCTGTTGCTTGGCTGCCACTGCTTCAACCAACTAGGTAAGACTGCTTTCGCGCCGGATTCCAGACTCCTTTGTTTCTTTTTTGTTGGTAAGTTGGTTCCTGTTTTGGACCCACGAGTGTGGGAGAAAGTAAGTCCGCTTCCGCATACCCCCCGTTACGCAAGTAAGTCTATCTTATTATCCGTAAGCTTCGTTCGAAACTGGGCTATTTAGGGGCCTCCAGCCAGGTTGATCCATGGCACGGGTCGCATGACACCTTAATCCAACCCTTTCCGTACCCCCAGCTATAGTAAGACTCCCCATTTGAATGCTGTGCTACTGAGGACCAACAAACACCCAGATAAAAAGTCAGACCTTTTGTTAGATACCACCCAACTGCAATAGTGTCGAACTGTTACCAGCTCGTCCCTGACTTCGTCGGGATTCTGTGGTTGTTGTTATTGTAGCGGCAGAATTCTGCCGAGTTGACAATCCTTGGCCGGAATAAACCCGGGTCCGCATTACAAAAATCTGTTGGAATAGGACCTATGAACAAGATAATACGAAATTAAGGAAAAATTTTGTTCATGGAACAATTACTAGAAAAGTTTGTCAGCTATTTGTGTTTATAACATATCGTCTTTTCTCTATCATTCTTGCAAAATTATTACCAAAAACTTCATTTATGATCTTGATTGCCCGACTTATGCAGGAACAAAGTCCTGGGTACTAAAAGCTTTTAAAACATTTGTAAATGGGACTGTCAAAGTAATGTACTTTTCTCAATTAAGATAATTGAAATTTATTTTATAAGAAATATAAATAAATTTATTTACATATTTATTCAAGTTACTAATTTTCTAGTTTAACGGTAATTGTGTTCACTTTTTACAGAATTTTACATTTATAGTAATGGAATTAATATTAAGTAAAGTCTGTAATTGAAATTACTTTTTCAATGATTCAGCTCTTAGAGCAAGTTGATAAACTACATTGGTAAGATTCCCATTTGTTGCAGACAATGGCGTGCTGAAATCAATTTTGCTTCCTTTTTCGTATTTGAACCCTGAGTCGGTGTGTAGGTGTGCCCATTTATTGATACGGAGAATAAAAACATTCTGCTGTGCGAAGGTCCGGCCTCGTTGACAAGCGTATACAATGGTGGCGTCCACTTGCGTTTGGATGTCAACTCGTTCAGCAGACAAACTGGGTGTTTTTCCAATAATTCTTGTTGTTGTTGTATATTATTTTGGGGACGTTGTTTTTTACACGGCTTTTGTTTGTAGCCGTTATTATCGTCACGTGCGACTAGACCATGTTTGTCTAACTTTACGTCAAGAAGTAACGGTTGCAAGGACCCAGATTTGTCACGCCCCAGTCCCTCACCAGGTTTCCAACCCATTTTTTGAAGCAACTGCATACCCATACCTCCACTCACTGGACGCGATGTAATTAATTGATCCCGCCGCGCCCATGCTTGTGGCCCAGAATTCAATTCGCGCATTGACAGTATATTGGCGCCGGTACTACCAGTGAATTGACCTGGTAAATGCTTGGATGACGCCCATGAAGACATGTCTTTTTGTGAGTTGTACATCATTTTAATAGCTTCAGGGTCCATAGGATTTTCCTGGCAAAACACATTTTTTAGCTTATATTATTTAGAACAAATAAATGCATACTTTTTAAAACAATTTTACCTGTAATCGTCGCATTGCTTGTAAGCGTTTAGATATAATACTGGATACATCTAATTGTGGCCCTGAAAGTTCAGGAAACACTTTTGCACCACCGACAGTAATATCTGTACTAGATGGGACTGGCACATCTGGAACAAAGGTCTGTTGAATAGGTGGAGGTGGTATAGAAACCGGCAGCAACACAATTGGCTGTGTTGGGGGATAGCTTGTGATAGGTGGAGAAACCTCAGCGGTCTCAGATGGAGGCGGCACTGAATAGAATGGTTTTACACCGATTGGAGCGTCAGTGATGGGTTTAACAAGAGGTACCTGCGTTGATACTTGCGCTTTTGTTGGCGTATTTGGGGTTGTCATAAGAGTCGCACTATTATCAACTGTATTTGGCACCGCACAGTTACTTTCTCCATTACTATTCACAGATGTTTGTTGAACTGGTTTGAAGGCGGGTTCTTGTTGTTCTTCAGGGATGGCTTTTTCAAATACGTTCTTAACGATGCCTGTTTTAAATATGCTGGTTGATTGTGCGACTACAGGCAAAGTCGGCAATGGTGGTAAATTATCTTTCTGTACCACTGGAACCCATGCTTCAGTCATGCGATGCTGTTGTCCAGACGAAACTGGGAATTGCATTGTAATGGCTTTTACAGCGTCGTTTGATGTCGGCCGTAATGGTAATGTAGTAGCGTTGCGTATATGCATTACTATCGGTTCGCGTTCTTTTAGCTGGAAGGGATGGTGAAATGCTTTCGTATTACCACTCTTATCAACGTCGGAATCTTCGTCGGAGCTGAGATCTGACAGATTTTCACCGTTTGAAATTTTCTTACAAAAATCTGTAAGATCCTGCACAGTCTTGCCACCGTATCGCATTTTTAACAACACTTTGTCCTTGACTTCCTGTGACATACTGTCACAGCCGGGCAAGTTTCCGCGTTTGAACATGCTGATGGCATTTTTACGTGCTATTTCGAGTAGTCTCTTCTTGTCGATACCTAAATCACGTGAACGGGAGCGCGAACGACCACGGCTGCGGCTTCGTCGCTTGCTATGGCTTCGTCCGTCTCCACGGTAGTTTCTATCGCGCTCTCGTTCACGATCACGGATTCGATTTCTATCTCGATCTCGGCTCCGACTACGTTTTATTCCCGCGTAGAAACTATTTGAGGATCGTTCATTGGCGTAATCATGTCCAAAACGACGATTCTTAAGATCATCGCTGACATGACGATCTTTAAGATAATCCTCCTCTTCGTCCGAAAGAGATATTTCCGAAATATGGCCGTCATGTGTGTCTAGCTTGATAGCTGATTCCTTTGGTTCTTTTTTGATATATACTGTTTTAGAGTTAGACTCATACTCGGGAAAACCATTATAAAAATTGTTATGCTTTCGGTCTTTTGTTTTATTCTTTTCTCTATCTTTTTCCAGGATTTGTTCCTTATTTGTGTCTTTACCTCGATCTCTCTCCCGGTGTTTTTCAAATTCACCACCTTTATCTCGCGAATGACTATGGTCATTTTCTGTACGAGCTTTTTTTCCATCTGTTGAGCTCGTACCAAGTGTATCGAAATGTCTTTTACGTGATCGACTATCCTGATGATGTTCGTGTTTTGGTTCAGCTCTAGAGTGCTTTGGTGAAGATGGCTTTGAAATGTCCTTTGCTGCAGCAATAGACTTCTCTTTGCTTTTTTGCCTTTCTTTTAATCCTTTATCTTTCTTACCTTTATCATTACTTTTATCCCGTTCTTTATCCTTTGCATCTTTATGTTTATGTTTCTTTTTTTTCTTATGTTTGTGTTTATATATTTTTTCTTTATCATCATCAGGAAGGTTGGACTCAGCACTATTACTAAAAGTCCCTTTTTCTGCTAAAACATCTTTTTCACGCTTAATTTTATTCTTCTTTTCTTTTTTGTGTTTTTTATGCTTATGACTCTTTTTAAGTAGACTTTTATCATCCAACAATTCCTCAGGAGGCGCTGCATTGAACACTTGGAAGAGCTCAGCGAGTATCTCATTGGATGATTTTACCGGTGTAATGGATTTTTTATCTTCATCTAAACTAGTTTCTTTCCTATTAGAACCGTGACTATTAATTATGTTGTTATTACCAACATCACTATCATCTACACTGCTGTTACCATCATCACCACTCTCATCATCATCTCCATTATCATCATCAGTTTTGTTGATTTCATCTTCCTTGTTATTTGACTTTAAATTATTGTTTTCCTTTTCAACTTCACGCTTTATTACAACATTAGCTATGGAGATTGCATTAATTTTCGCTTCCACCTCCGGATCGAATTTTTCTTGCTTAACTTTAATTTGGGGCACAGTCAAAGGGATATCTGGCCCATTCTGTTCTTCAGACATATTTATGCACTAAAAAAATATACTACTTATAAACTTATTTTTACATAGACATTCTTACACATTTTAATTGTAGAATTAATTTTTTTGTATTTCTAACTTTTTCATTCAACATAAACTCTAAAACACCTATAATATAACGAAATGTCAAGAATTCAGGTGCTGTCAACTGCGTTTTATAGAGTTGCCAATATTCTATATAACATAAGGGTAAACGTTTGAAACCCTCTCTACTGCATTTATTTGCATGACTATTATATTGTATATGACTTTATACTAAAAACTTGATTAGCGTCTTTAAAAAAATATATTATCCCATATCACTACTGCATTGTGTACATTATATTTGTCCTCCTTTTAAAAGATTAATACAATTATGCTCTGGCTCTTATTTTCTTTTAGTCGAATCGAATAGAATATACGTGTAATCAGAAACCTTAATATTTATTTTTATATATCAATGTTTTTACATTTAGCTTCAAGAGTACCTTTGCATTGTTTTTTGTACATTCTTAATATCTTAAATATAAAAATATTCAAACGAAATTGATAAGCTGCTTTGAAGCTACTACCTTATCCATGATTTATAAAAGTTTTTATAGCAAAAAGTTTCGATTTCGAAACGAAAAGATTTTTAATTAAGTTTATGGGTGTGTTAGCATAATTTTGTAAATATGGCATCACAGTACAGAGTGGGCAGTAAAATAGGCAACATACCGGATATGCTATTCGTTGTTAGTTGATCACTCGTTGGTGTCTTAATTTCTCGTTCCTTTACATCGAGTTATGAAAATATTTTTTAAACCTCTTTGAGGACGGTCGTGACATTTTATATATTTTAACTATTTTCGAAAACAGTAAAAATTTGAAAAATCGCATAAAAGTGATAAGAAAGTAACGAGGAAATTATTTCGATTGCAATTCACTGAAAAAGTAAGAGGTTATAGTGTAAGAAAGTTCCACATTTTTGTGCTAATTTTCGTATCTTGCTTATTTCTCGGTGATTTTCCTTTGTCATCGCCCTTCGTCGTTGAAATCATTGGTCATCATCACGTCGGCTCAACTCGTGTTTCCGAATCACACGAATCCATCTCAACGTGCTGGTGTTTATGTATATTTGTATGTAAACCTTTGTGATTTTTGCCAAAAACTCGTCGTATGTCTGCAAATTCGTTTATCGCTACTCGCTGAATGTCTGACGATTGCTGTCTACATTTTCTTTTGCTTAATGTGGTACTGAAAATTTATTTCAGAAAAATTACTTCATTACTAAATTTATACAGAGAGATATAAGACAAAGTAAAGAAAAGCTGAAACATTAAGACGTACCGCAGCGATAGATATCGTTGTAAACTAAAAAGAAAGGAAAGTGAGCAGCTATTTAACAGAGGAAAAAAATAATAATATAAGAAAAATGACATCGCTGGAACCGAATGTGAATCGCCTGCAGAATTTCAAAAATAAGGGCAAGGATCAAGATGTAAGTAATTAATTCCATCATATCAACAAATAATTTAACAACTTTAAAGTTATATGTGCGATATGAGCAGTCATTTTTAAAATATTCATTAAGTGTGAAGTTATGAGACGCAATTATTATTTTTTGAGTATTGTGACTAGCACATGGACAGTGACAGCAATGCGGGGCAGGCACATGTGTAGTGTATCACTGCAACGGGGCTTAAAGTACGCTATATGTTGCCTTTCACCCACTGCCTCCGTTACCATCATCACTGTTGCTGAGTGCGCCGTATGTCGTGCTGTTGGCCATTCGCCCGCCACTCGCCATTTCCATTTGCTTAAATTTCATCGTACCTTGCTCTGTCGCTGTGCAATTATTGATTTTCGCAATCTCTACAGTTCTCTTCATGTGAACCGCACGTCAACTAGTATTGGTGAATATACTACTTGTTAATATTTCTGTATGAAAGAAATATAACACCCTTTTTTTTATTTTGTGATTTGAATAACGGGTGTTGAATTGCATATCCAGATATTTGATACAAAAATATTAAAAAAATAAACTAATTTAACACAAATTGTTTATATAAACTTGCGATCTGTCATTACTTCGGTCAAGTGTGAAGGTGTATAAAGTACACGCTGCGCTCTTTATATTCTTTTCTCCCAATATACAAATATTCATCCGACTGTGCTGTTATTCGCTCACTTGTTTGTATCACGTGTATAATATACATATGTATATATAATATATATTGGGTATTCTCTCATATTATTTGGTCTGCTCTTTTATTATGATTTTCTTAATAATGACGCATTTGTTGCTAGATTGTTATATTATTTCTTGAAATAATCTTACGCACTTCTTAAAAACGCCTAGCTCCTATGATTGTTTCATCTTTTTAAAGGACTATTCTTTTCAGAAAGTATTATAGAACACCAAGTAAAACGGTATACATACTTATCATTCGTTTTGATTAAAAACCTGGTTTAGTTCCAATGTCAATTTGTCATCCAATTGTCCAATGTCAATTTAAGTCATATTTCAAATAGTTTATTGTATGAGTAAATTTATTTTAGGTATATAGATAGAGTTTTTTTTTTACTTAACGAAAGGTCAGGTGTGATTTGAAATATTTTAACTGAAACGATTTAACAGCACCAGCAAATTTTTTTCTACCTAGAGTAGAATTAGTACTAAAGTTAAAAGTATCTTTTGATGTATTAATAGGAAATGCGACGTCGCCGAAATGAAGTAACAGTAGAGCTGCGCAAAAATAAACGCGAAGAGACGATCCTGAAACGTCGCAATGTTCCCAACATGGATTCGAATACAGATGAGGATGATCAGCTGCCAAATACAATCAATCTGAAGAAATTGGCCGAGGCTGCTGCTGATGCTTCAAAACCTGAGCAACAATTGGCCGCAGTTCAGGCTGCACGTAAACTTCTCTCCTCGGATAAGAATCCGCCAATCAACGACCTCATCAAGAGTGACATTCTGCCGATTTTGGTAGATTGTCTAAAACAACACGATCACACAATGTTACAGTTTGAAGCCGCCTGGGCATTGACCAATATTGCCTCTGGTACATCAGATCAGACTAATCAGGTATGTTGTATGTTATATTATATACGCACTCTTCAAATATTATTAATTTACATTAAACAAAAAGACGCATCAATAAGATTTTCTATATTTAGCCCAAACAATGTCTTTTAATAATGTGTATAAATTCTTCAAGGTTGTCGCTGCTGGTGCAGTGCCGCTCTTCTTGGAGTTGCTCTCTTCGCCCGCACCCAATGTTTGCGAACAGGCCGTTTGGGCTTTGGGTAATATCATCGGTGATGGACCGGAATTGCGTGACTTTGTCATTAAGCATGGCGTTGTTCAGCCCTTGCTGTCATTTATTAAGCCTGACATACCAATTTCATTTTTGCGCAACGTCACATGGGTGATTGTGAATTTATGCCGCAATAAGGATCCACCACCACCAGCCGCCACCATACACGACATCCTGCCCGCACTTAATGTGCTGATCCATCACACGGATACCAACATATTGGTAGATACTGTTTGGGCTATCAGCTATTTGACCGACGGTGGTAATGAACAAATCCAAATGGTGATTGAAAGCGGTGTCGTACCCAAGCTGATACCATTGTTGGGACATGCGGAAGTTAAGGTGCAAACGGCGGCTCTTCGCGCTGTCGGCAACATTGTAACCGGATCGGATGAACAAACACAAGTGGTGCTCAACTACGACGCGTTGTCGTACTTCCCAGCTTTGTTGTCCCATCAGAAAGAGAAAATCCGCAAGGAGGCTGTCTGGTTCCTTTCCAATATTACAGCGGGTAATCAATCACAAGTGCAAGCGGTCATCAATGTCGGCCTATTGCCGAAAATTATTGAAAATTTGAGTAAAGGTGAATTCCAGACACAGAAGGAGGCTGCCTGGGCAATTAGTAATCTGACTATTAGCGGTAATCGCGATCAGGTGTTCACATTAATAAAGGAAGGTGTCATACCGCCCTTCTGCGATTTGCTCATTTGCATGGACACACAAGTTCTTAACGTAAGCTCACTTTCCCTTTTCAAATATGAATAAGCAATACGATATATTTATAAATGCTATATATATATATATATATATATATATTAATAGGTTGTGCTTGATGGTCTCAATAATATGCTCAAAATGGCCGAGAATCACGTACAAGAAGTTGCCAATTTAATTGAAGAATGTGATGGTTTGGAGAAAATCGAAAAACTGCAAAATCATGAAAATGTCGAGATTTACAAATTGGCATACGAAATTATTGAACAATACTTCTCCGATGAGGTAAGCTACCTTTGCTTTTTAAGCACGGCAAATATAATAAATTCGTTTTCTCTTGCTTAATTAACAGACGTCACAGATCAGCCTCGCACCCACCAACGATGGCACACAATTCCAATTTGATCCAAACGCCGATAGCAAATTACCAATGAATTCTTTCAACTTTTTAAATTAGCACGGCTGCTGTGGATATAACATTAGTTTATCAGTAAAGCTACTACCACCAACACGACCGCGACTAGCACCTAAACAGCTACCACCACCAATTACAAATAAAACAACAACACGACATACTGTTAAGCCAATATTCGCCAGCCTATTGACGTATCAAATATTGAAAACGACAACACCGGCAGCGACGGCCAAGTGTTGAACTGACTGACTGACAGCAAAGTTAAATTTGCAAAACAAAAATACAAGATGAAAAAACGGAGGAAATGAAACAAAAACAATTATAAAAAAAAATAAAATAAAATACACAGACAACAAAACAGGATTATTAGTAGAGAAGAAAATCAACAGTACCAGCAGCAAATGAAATACTAAGGAATATGAAGAATTGACATCGGCAAAACATCAATAGAATTGCATTGGATATGTTGTTGTCAGCTACATCACATTCACAAAACGAGCATTTTCATAAAAATTGAAGCGAAATGCAGGGGAGCGGCAACGTGACAACGTAACGCTTACAACATTTAGCGGCAATAATTAGTGAAAATGTACGACAAACAACAACAACAATAACACGTACGAAATGAAACATTAGCAGCAACAACAACAGCAATTATTAAATAGTTCGCAAGTCCAAGTTGATTATAATTATAATTAATATTATATGAAACAAAATTATATACATACATATATATGCATATATATACATGGAATTTTTTGAGTTTAAGGATTATAGAGAAAAACGAAATGAAACATAACAAACAAAAAGTCTACTGTCACATCAACAACATCGGCATTCTAAAGTATTCCCATCAAATATAGTAACAGCAATTGCATTATCATAATCATAAAACTCGAAAACGCAAAAATGATAAACCTAGATTGAAAACAGACATTGAAAGGTCATCGAAAGGTCCATATGCAGAATGTGTGAACGTGATTGAAGTTGATGTGCACTATTGTAAAAATAGAATTCGCTTGTAAAAGCAAGTGAAATTATAAAATATTTAAATAGGTTTCTTGATTTATTTTTATAGTTTTAGATTTTTTTGTGTATTTTAATTACTTTACGAAATTTGCTTATTAAAATTTATTTAACTCATAACGCGTAACATGATTTACTCTATTATTTCTAGCTTAGTTCCGAACCTCAAATCGGCTGAATCAAAATTTATAAGATTTGAAAAAAAGGAAAAAGACATTGCGACAATGTATAGAACGTTTTCATTTCGTACTATTTCCATCTTGGTTTTTGGTAAAAAAAAAAAATACATGCCCTCACAAGCCAGTTAGTGCGTCCAAACGTAGCTGCAATTTTTTTTTTTTTTTAATTTTAGCTATTTTTTTTTTTTTGTTTGCACGTCAACTCTTCACGCATACGCCCATGATCCTGCAACTTTACTCAACTCTTATGACATTCTTCGAGTTTTCATGGTCCATTTACTAATTTGACAACTCTTTTATTTTTAATTGCCGCATAACGTTATGTATATATGTGTATCGTTCATACTAATAGCAATCCAATGCCATTACATTTATATATGCCAGTGCAAAAATAAGCCAGTTGCGGTAATGTTTCTACGATTAACTTATGGGGCTTTTTTCTGGCTTTTTTGCAATTTAAGTTTTCACCAAAAAGTTTCTTACCGTATTATTAATATGAGCATATAGAGACTCACATATGTACATTCGTTCTGCTGACATTATTTTCAGGACCTAACATTTTTTTTTTTTGTTTAAATTTAAAAAGTATAAGTTTCATACATTTTTTAAGAAATTGTAAGTACTTCGTTTAATAATTTCCTTCTGCTTTATATGCATACGTGTAAATGGTATGTACTCGTATTTTTACCTTTAACAACATTTTCCAAATGGCTGTGCCATATTCCATGCTAGCAACCTCTCCTCCATCCAACCAACGTGCACACACACATATACACGCAATTACAATGCCACACATACATATGTACATCGCAGACGATTTTTTATGCCTCTTGCGGTTTTAATACAATTATTTTTACTTCGACCTTTTTGCCTTAATAAATATAATTTAATCTTGCTCAAATTCGTTCATCTATAAAATTGAATGCAAACACAAAAATAAAAAAATCGGTTTTATTAAAAACATTTTGACATTGGCAAATACTAAAAAAAATTAATAGATAATAAACTTCAGATTTAAGTAAGTATAATTTAAATTTTGTAAAACTTAATGACAGATACATGCAGTTGTGAATCCTTCAAATCAAAATCTATTACAGCAATCATTATTTATTAATTTTTTTTATATATTATATTAACTTTGTGTCGAAATTTTTATTGCGAGTATACAACATAACAACAATACTTACACACAAACATATGTACACGCATTGAACACCAACAATAACAGAAAGGGCAGCGAGAATAACTCTATAGCACCGACAACGCCTACACCCACATTTGCATACGTGCATACATGCTTATGTAAATGCATACCTAAATGAATATGTGTATGAGAAGGAAAAGTTAATAAGAAGTATATAAATAAAAAAAATTAAAAACAAATCAAAGCAAAGCAAAGTTAAGAATTAGGCAGTAAGCTACGTGAAATCGTCAGAATTTTCGGTATAGAATTTAATTCACCATAAAAAGATATCGAAACTAATAGGTACATATATACATACATTTTTTTTTTTTTTAATCTCGAGCAGTGAAGAAAATAAAATGAAATCAAATTAATTAATATGAAAACATAAGAAGATTAATATTAATATTAGTGCAGCAAGCGTATTTTTAAAAAATATAACTCTTGCATTCGACAATTACGAAATAAAGTAATTATTTAAATTAAATTTTATTAAAAAGAAAACAGAAAGTGAAATATAATTTTAAGAAAACGCATTTTCTTTTTCACTTTTACTGTTTTATATGTATGTATGTGTGAGTGTGTGGTTGTGGGTGGAATGAGTGTGTAAAGAAGCATAAATCGAGTTATTACTGTTTTTTTTAACAATTGTTATCTAGCAACTATTTTTAGATTTGGAACGTCGTACTATGGGAGCTTAAGACTTAAAAATTCTAAAATTCCTGCAAAGTTTTCGAGAATTATCTCGAAGTAGTAGGTCTCTTCCCGTTGACCTACATTTCTAAATATACTGTAGTTTTTTGCCAAAAGTGAGGAAATTCGGTGTAGATCCCTTCTATCCCTCATCTGCTGTTGTTGTTGTTGTAGCGGAAAATTCCTGAAGTATTTTCAAGGATTGTTTCCGAGTTGACAGTCCTTGGCCGAAAAATTTCATTAACGTCGTTAAATAGTTCCCAAATGTAGAGGGTATTTTTAACGAGATAATGTATGAAAGGAGAACCACGAAGCAAAACATTACCAACTCTTGCTTGGAAAATGCTCCGTTAGTTCTTCTCTTTACTACTACTAGCATTGTATAAACTAATACCTGTACAACGATTCGAAGCGATTTATTGAAGGAAATTTTAAGTATATTCCAGTGGACAGGAAAGGAATTGCATTTCCAAATGACATAGCCATTTGATTATTTATATTTGTGTATCCACCTTTCACATGGTGTACATACTTTTAGGCGCACGAAGTTGTTGAAACAGTGCACACTCATTCAGTTTAATTTCTGATTTCCAAAGTTTTCAATCACATTTGATTTCAATTATTTTGAAAACTCAATAATGTAAGCAAATTTCGTTCAGCCAAAATTAAACAAAAAAAATTGTTAATAAAATTAAAAATTAACTATAAACATTGCATTGATCATCAAACGTTTTGACTATGAGCGGAAAAGTAGGACCGCTATCGCGTATCTACAATGGTATGATCGGCATCGCGGATAAATTTGTACCGACCTCCATGCGTCCGCTGTGGGAACATCCAGCAGGTGAGCAGAAGCAGACCCGACTAAAACAACAACATGCTTATTCCGTCGGGCCACTAGATTTGGGGGATTTGCCTTCCTGATGACATTTTGAGCTCTTCGTCTTGGCCACTGAAGGGTTTCTTCGGTTCCGAGGAGATATGACCATCGAATTAAGTTTTCACACCATTATAAAATCTTCTCGGATTGGATAGGGATCGTGGTTCAGATCTTACTCATACCAGTAGAGAGGTGACAAGACTTCAACTGCTCTATCCAATTCGTTCGTTTATGGTGATTTGCTAGTTGTCAAATTTCTAAACTGAGACTCCGTCGACTACCTCCCGGTTAATGATACCACAGGACAGGAAATCGAGTTGAATAAGTCTCGCGTAACTGCGATGTAAATACAGCAAACTAAAGACCTATTTATACAGAATTGACATAGACATACTGTACTTATGTCCTGTTTGCAAAGTGTCGCCGCATGACACTAAGCACCCTGTTTCCATGCCCTATGAAATCAACTCATCTAACACTTTCCTAAATATGGGCCGACTTCGTCGAAACAGCTCCTATCCTGAACATCTTGTTAAATGACTCCGATTATATTTAATTTGCACCCCCACTTCCAAAAGGGTCTATATACCGTTACAATAACAACAATCCGACTAAAGTTGTAAAATAACATTTGTTTGCTAATATTTTAGGTCCGAAAACAGTATTCTTCTGGGCACCGATAGGCAAATGGGTAAGCCATTATTTAACTATGTGTTATTATGCGTATATTTTATTTAAAATGTGTGTGTGAAACATTCTAGGCACTCGTCATTGCAGGCATTGGAGATATGTATACTCGTCCCCCACATGCATTATCAGTGAATCAATGTGCTGTGTTAGCCACAACTGGTATAATTTGGTCTCGCTACTCACTGGTTATAGTCCCTAAGAATTATTCCTTATTTATGGTAAATCTGTTTGTCGCAACTACACAGCTCATTCAAGTGGCACGCGCCTTACAGTATCAGTATAGTTTAAAAGATAAATCGGAGTGAATATTATTTTATACAAAAAGAAATATTAATATATATCGTTCAAATTTGGTGGGAATGAAAACGAGCAGTTTGGTATCGCAAAATTTTTTGATCGTCGAAAACACCCCTTGGTCAATACTCAACTTGAAGAGCTTTGACAAATAAATCGAATAAATAACCAAATTCAAAATAAGTGGACAAAAAATGATCGCATTTTATAATTCGGTTTTATGTACTCAAATCATATATTTTAAGTGAGCTGTGCTGTCATCAATGTTTTTTACTCAATAGGCTTCGAGGAAAATTAAACTTTAAATGTACTTTTTAGTAATAGCAATTATTCCTAAAGTAAATTGTTTTTTTTTTTTAATTATATTGTATAAATAAAGGTAAACATACTTCTCGGACAAAAGTCTCAAATTTCGATTTAATGTCGTTGTTTAAAGACAAACAATAAATTTACAAGTACCATCACGAATATTCCATCCGACACCAACGATTAAAAAGCTCTCTAATAAAGTCAGACCGATATTAATTAAGTGCAAATAAAGGAGTTACACTTTTTCAAAAAATTATTCATCATCACATTTTAAAATTATAAATAGTCTTTATCTAATTTTTATACCCTGAACAGGGTATATTAAGTTTGCCACGATGTTTGTAACACCCAGAAGGAAACGTCGGAGACTCGATAAAATGTGTATCTAAATGATCAGCTTTTGAGGTATCGATCTGAAATTTTGCACAGGTACTTTTCTCCCAAAAAGCTGCTCATTTGTCGCAAGCCATAGAAACTGAAAGATCGGAATCAAGTCCTTGTATGGAAAACTTTTTATTTCACAAGATTTCTTCACGAAATTTGGAAAGAGATATTGTCTAAGGCAATAATGCAATCTCCGAGCTGTCATACTAACTGAACGATCAGAAACAAATTCTTGTAAGGAATTTGTTGTATTTTTGTAGGGTATTATAGCAAACGAAGTTAACATTTTTTATGTTTTTATTATTGTTTAACAAAATTGTGGCGCACATATATAAATAATTGGTTCCACTGTTGCTCACAAACACAGTCTATTCCACGTGTAGCAGTAATCTTGGCGTCATACTCGCATTTTATATGAACGCTTTAAAGACTGTGTGGTGGTAAAGCATACTTCATTCATATATTAAATATTTATAATAGGGGGTTTCACACCGTCTTCAGTAACGTTGAAATTCATTATGCGGTAAGTTCTAACATGTACATTTTCTTTCAAAGTAGTCGATTTACCGAATATACTTTTACTGAGTAGACAATAACGACAATAAATTTTAAGGAAGTCAGTTAGAACATCAGCGAGAAATAAAATATCACGAGTCAAATACACTTATTGTAATTTAAGCTGCACACACAAAAACAGTTTGTTTAGTTTAGAACGAATGAATAGCAAATGCGTACATACATATGTATGTGTATGATATTTTAAAAATTTACCGAGTAAGTTAATATCGAGTACAACACTAAGAAATTCGGTCGAATTTTTTATCAGATAATCAGCGTTCCATAAAAGCTCAACGAGCAAAACCTGTTATCTGACAGGTATGTAAGTACGTTGATATCTACAAGCGAAATCTAGTTTGCTACAGTGACGTGATTGCTTTTTTGCAATACAATACCGAATTGTGTATGTATGTGTTTACGCTAGCTGCCAGGAGAGTTAATGAGTCTTTTTACGTAGATTATGCTTTTTCTAAGTAGAAATACAATTTAGTATTAAACGTTTGAGCACTTATTTGCTCATATTTTTTCGTTTGATTGTTTTTAGCGATTTTTGCTGACGTTAGCAACGTTGTTGGTGTGACTTTTATAACTAGTTGAGGATTCTATTAGGTGGCAATGAGAGGGGTTCATTTTGATATTAGCTAATTCAGTTGGTATTTGGTTGTTGTGCTGGAATGTAAGTAAATGTATTTAGATGTGTAAAAAGTGCGATTACATAGGGTGATTAAAGTGGATTTTTCATTGTTAAAAGTGAAAATGAATAAGTTTGTTTTAAAAGAAATTCCAACAAGTGAATTAAATTTTATATATATTTTACATGTGTTAATATACATATGTATAAGGCAGAAACAAGTCGATTTATAATGCATAAGTTACAAGCAAATTTAATTTCCGTAGCGCGCGCTTTCCAATTTATTATTGCTGTAAAATTTTACTTAATCGGTGGCGTTGCAGCTGTTTGCAATTGCTTTGCTTTTTTATTTTTACTCGCGGAAATTGTCAGCAGCCAACAATTGAGTGTATGTTTTTCTAATGTTGCTTTTCGCACTAGTTTTTTACATTTTGTATCATGCACTCGAGCAAGTGACTGCATTTCGTTGCATTCTTGAGACATTATACCAACACTAGTTGGCGATCAAGGTCAAGGTTATGTATGTGACGTCAAAATACAGGTTGTGCTTTCCGGTAATTTAATTGTGCATCAACGGCAATGTATCGAAGTAGTATTTTAAATAGATAAATAAATATATATCTTATTATGCAGCATATCTTATTAAATTATTTGTACCCTACATAATGTATAATATGTGTATTCTACAAATGCATATACATATATTTGCGATTATGCGCAATTGTCGTTAAATATTTCCTTCACTGGTGTCAAAAAGAATTAGAAATTCACGAATTGTTCCATTTATGGAACGTGCTTAGACCTCGCCCAATAAATGATTATATTAAATGTGCATTCGCAAGGCAGATGGATATTATCACAAGTGTTGCGAACGCTTAATTTTTCTTAGAAAAATATTACAGAGGAATAAATCAAATCTAGAATATAGTAATTGTGGTTTTAAAATACACCGGAAGTAATCATATTATACAAGTATTTCAAATCACGACAACCATTATAATATAACGAATAGACCCTGTTTAGACCGACCATTACATATGATCTTGTAGGGTATATATTGTTTTAAGTATACTAAACAGTATGCAAATTTACTAGTGGCTAGCAGAAAAATTTGCATTTCTAACAGAAGTATTTACATAACGAAGGAAGCAATGATCGGCCTCTACTCGTTCATTTTCACAGCTCGTTCATTCTTGTAGACATTTACTTATGCATATTTGTACATACATATATAGTATGTATATATTTTTTTTCTTTTAATCTGACAGTGAAACACTTTGGAACACAGCTAAACAGCTACCCACTATCACCCTCAACTGAGCACCCTCGTTCCTTTGAACAAATGTGTTTAGCGCGTCACTGTCACGCATATTCCGAGTGACGAGCCTCTCACTAGCGGTTACACATTTCTCTTTTATTCACCTATGCTCACATGTTGCTATACATATAAACAAGTACATTTCCTTTCTATTTTTGCGTTTTGCTTTTCATTTCCATATTTCTATACTCCGTATTTATATTTCAGTTCTTCCCTATCTAGCAAACGGTGAGGAAGTCCACACTAGCAATTGTTCAAGTAAAGTACCTGGTATACCTAACCCTTAGGATAAAGTTAGACAATTGTAAATACGAATAATTAGTACAAAATATCAAATCTCAAAGGAAACTAAAGTCTTGTAACAAGTGCATACAAACAACAATACAATGGCTTCCTCATCACCACCTGCAGCAGCACCACCACCACCACCTCCGTCATCAGCCACTACCGCTGGCAAAGGATTTCCCAACAAAATTTACAATGCTCTTATTGGCTCAGTGGACAAACATGTGCCCGAAAAGATGCGACCATTGTGGCAGCATCCAGCTGGTAAGCGTTATTGTTAAACACCAAATCAGTTTAATTGAAATAAGGCTATTGGCATTTTATTCCTTGCAGGACCAAAAACTGTTTTCTTCTGGGCACCACTTTTCAAATGGGTAAGCGTTTTAGGCAAATATTGATATCAGTGTTTTGGAAAATAACAAACTTATATAGAACTTACATAATCAGCGAAAAAACGGAACGAATGAGAAATATTAACATACGAATGTGTATGCAACCACTTTATACTCGCATCAATATCAAGTATGAATTCACATTATCAGCTCATTCTCAAATTCATTGTATTGTCTACCGTCAAATTTTTATTAGGAGTAGGTGGTGACTGAACCAATTCAAAAGTGTGGCGTTAGATAAGAGTAACCGCTACAACAACATTGGGCGCGACTAATAAAACACATGTATACTCTATGTACATATATTTATTTTTCCTTATAATACCTATGCTTTAAGTGCGCCATTGATCTGGTAATTTTCGCTAAGTCATTTCTAATCCAGCCAACTGATAAAGAAGTGATAATCAACTTATTCTGCGTTTACATGGGGACTCTTTTGTCGCTCATTATCGGCAAATTCTCTATTCGTGTTGTTGTTGTTGTAACGGTTACCTAGTCCCCGCTTGGGTGATAAGTTATAGTTTAGTTGTCGTCGAGGTCATCTAACGGAAGGACATATGTTTGGAATATCGGGGTCTATTCTGGATAAGTAGGAGTTTAACCTGCTACAATATCCAGAACGAAGTTGCGCGAAGGTCACTCTGGTTTCGCGAGGCAACTCGAGCTCTACGTCTGCTATGGGTGGTGGTTTGACTCTTAGTACGCCATTCACTGAGAGATAGTCGGCGAAGGTGTTGATGGCTCCATTGTGAATGGCGGCCAGTGCTTGTCTAAAGTTCGTTGCGTCCGAAGTCCGGTCGGCGTACTGTCTGATGTCGTCGACGTAATCAAGAAAGGACCTCTTGATGTTCCTAGAAAGCGGTTCCGCTTCAATCAGACGACTGCAGGGGTGATTTCTGCGGAATCATCCCAGCAGAAACTGTTTGGAGAGGAGCTCGTTATGTTCCTTAACCGGAAGTATACGGGCCTCACTGTGCACTCTTTTTTCTGTCGCTCTGTGCCTTCATACGAGCAAAAAGAATCCAGCAACTCGAATCGAGTTTTTCTGTCATTCCTTTTCCTAAAATTTTCGCAAATTTGTGCGGTTCGGCTACGCGACACTTAGAGTGCGTTGCATATTTTATTTGTGTGTTAGGATGATGGTCGTCACACATTTTACTTACAAGGAATTACCATGAATGAGGTAGAACCATATGCTTAATAGTTTCGAAGAAATACTTAAGTCCGGAATTTCCTAATCTACCAGAATGTATTGAAAACCTGCTGATAATATTTTCAAGGCCAAATTTATGACAGGAATTTCCCAATCTTTCGGGAAGTATTTAAACCGATACTTTTTTACTTCTTATTTTTTTTTTTATTATAAAACATTCATGAATTAATTACAATTCTTTTTTAAATCAAATGATATTCGAAGTAAACGAAATAAATATGAAAGCAAATTAATATTTTATGTAAATATAAAAAAGTAATGTTACCACTTTTATTAGAATTCATTGATGTATATTAGGTGTAGTAACAAGAAATTATTTTTCCAATAGATGGCGTTATTTATTTGTATCTCGCGTTGTAAAAGTCCGATCGGGTTCGGCTTTATGGCGTTAGAAAGATGACATTTCTTTCTAAAAAAGCTTTTCTAACAGTTTTTTGATTGGTTGATTCAGTTTTGTTTGAGCGCGCGTCAAAAATGGACACAGTTTTTTTGGGTAAGGGCGAAAACGCAAGCCAAGCGGTTGAAAATGTAAATAGTGTTTATGGTCCTGATACTGTTACAGCCAATTTTACGCCATTTTGGTTTCGTCGATTCCGTTCCGGTAATTTTGATGTCAACGATGCACCATGCTCTGGAAGACATTATCAAAAAAACGATCCACTAATGGAAATCGCCGTGTCCAAACATCGATTACGATTGTCCAGTATCTAAATATTGCACAAAGAACCGTTTGGAACCATTTGAATAAGGCTGGATACGAAAAGTAATAACTAAAGCATTCAATTTAATGCAAAAAAAATGAATTTATTTTTACTACACCTAATATATTATCACATTTAATACCGTTAGCACAGCACAGTGCCTTCGTCTTCCCTCGTCGTCCCCTCGCCCACAATAAACCGATTTGGGTTACAAAAGAGTCCGTGTGTGAACTGGCACTTAGCAGACAGTGCGACCTGATTGGCAATGAAATTGCCTGCGTCGTGTATATGTATAAAACAAAATTAGTGTTAGTATGGTGATTAGCGTGTTGCAAAATACAATATTTATACATATATACATATGTACATGGGTACATAGGTATCCGGATATTTTTAGTAGTGATGTACTATGCGGCTAATAAATAAAAATTTTTGATTTTAAAGTTTATAGAGGTTATACAAAATAATAATAATCTTGTAATTATTAACTTAGGGCATTTAACATTTATGGCTAATAACATAGAACTTTTGCCTCGCTTTGCGTCGGACATTTGTTTTAGCAGAAAAGTTCGTTGTGCGTTTTTATATGAGTACGTTCACATTTAAAGTTTCGACGCGAGGCCAAGCAAAATGTTGGGCATTCTCATCTTTTTACGCTTTGCCAAGCAACAGTCATTATTTTTATTAGAGAGAAACACAGAAAGCAAAGCGTTCGTTTTGGCATACCCTTCGTTTACTGCGCTTCATTGTTTCAGTATGAACTGTCACGCAAAGCGAGGAAAATTATATGTGAATGAACCTTTAATATATGAGTGATGCATTGTAAAGCGAGGATTTATCTATCCTACTATTACAATGTGAATATTATTTTAGTAGTCTACATTCAGGCTTCATTTGTCCGTTGACATAAACGACTGCTCTTAGTTCATATTTTTATTTATATGTGTTATAATAATACATTTTAGTTAGACCTTTTATACAGTCTAGCACACAAATTTATTATTACAACTACTACATACAAGCATATATACTTACAAGCAAGTATGCAATTAAAAATATTAAAAATTTACCTTTGGATACAAATGAACCGATGTTTTACTCGTACATATATGTTAGCACACATTGCAAGTATACATATTTACATTTATAAAAATAAATGTATATTCGATCCGGTCTATTTTACCGCTCAAATTTTAATAATTTTTCAAATATACTACTAATTATTTGATACGAAAATAAAATATTTCCTATTACAATACAAATTTCAAAGAATTATTTATGTACGAATACAAAAATTGTTAGGAAATAAGTAATATTTATAAAACCTAGCTCTGATCCAATTACGATTTAAATAGCTGGAAAACGCTTTTTACAAAATCCAAAACTACATATGCCCCTTTACTGTATAACATTCCGGACAAAATATTAGTTTACTAACTTAATTCGTTATTCCTTTTCGATGCGGCTTTATATAAATACCTATGTACATATATAATATTTTTAAAACTTCTGACGATACCAAGCAACCAATAGTTGACGAAAAATCGATTGATAATTTAGATGTATGTATCTAACCCTATAACTATTTCCATTTTGAGTTAGAAAATGTATTAAGACAATAATGTGCGTGTCGTTTAAATGTTAAGCAATATTCTTAAGTATTTGAAGAATATTTATAAATAAGTTTAGTCAGCACGTTTATCAAAAAATTTTTGTAAAAAAAAATTTATAAATTTTAATAATTGAAATTATACCATTTGATTTCTTCGCTTTCCAGTCTCTTGTCATAGCTGGTCTCAGCGACTTGGCGCGTCCGGCTGAAGCTCTTTCGGTGCCACAGTGTGCAGCACTCGCCGCCACCGGTATCATTTGGTCACGTTACTCCTTGGTTATCATTCCCAAAAACTACAGTCTGTTCGCCGTCAATTTATTTGTCGGTTTGACACAAGTTATTCAACTCGGCCGCGCATACAATTATCAAATGGAACAAAAAAAACTGGCAGGTGAACAACCTGCGAAGAAGAACGAATTGTAAATGGCTTTAATTTCGATTTGTATATAATATTTAAATGTTTGTACATAGAAATGTATATAATGTTAAAGAGACGCATGCTAACCACATTAATTATGCGGCAAGTGGTGTACCCATGCCATTAAAATCTACAAAGGTGATTAATATCGATTTGCTTTATTTGCTGTCAATACACACATATATAGTATGTATACAAAGCACTTTACATACAAATATATGCATGATAAAAATGTAATTACGGCCAAAATAACACATCAGGCGGTAGCAGTAATAAAATATTAATAAATAAATAAATAGAGCAAACGCAAGGCTCCTACATATACTTATGTATGGATATATGCATACATATTTGTATACCCGCATGCATAAGCAAGTTACAAATTGCACTTGAATGCAGAAAGTCAATGTCAATGGCGCAACATCCACATGACTTCTAAATAAACACACATGCATACATATGCAAATAATTTAGGCAAACAACAAAACCGTTGGCCAGTAAAAGTGCTCAATATGTCGAAGCCGTCATTTATTATTATATAATAGTACTACAAAAACTGGTGATATAATTAAGTAGTGAATTGTAAATTAAATAATATTATCTGTTGTTTAACTACACTAAAGCTGAATTAATTTTGAATTTAAACTATAACTAAGTTAAGAAAGTTAAACAATCAGATCATCACAAAACAGCACAAATTATGCAAATAAAAAATGTTATTTAAAATTCATAGTAGTAATTTATACAAAAGCTTCCCAATGAAAGTGAAATATGTAGTTTGTTTTTCTTTCTTTTAATCTTTTGTCATTAACTTCAAACTATTGTATAATTAATAAAATTGTAATTTTTTCTTTGTTTATTCAATTAGTCAATGCAAACGTTAACACTCATGTCAAAGAGTTTAAAATTTGTGTTCCAATCAATAATAAAGAACAGGTTTGAGCCAAAGAGCAAACGAAAATAATACATCGACTCGTACATATATACTAATACAGATATTTATGTACATATGTAAGTAAGTCGTAAGAGACTTTACAAGTTACAAAGCACAGCATAGTACGCAATTAGCATCTAACATGGAAACAGATATAGTAGGTATGTATATATATTAATTATATGTACATATGTATGTATATGTATTTTGGGCAATGAGAACTTTTATTTGTAGAATTACAAGTAAAAGTTAAAAAAAAACACAAGTAAGTAAGGGCTAAGTTCGGGTCGAATTGAACATTTTATACTCTTGCAACTTGCAAGGATCAAAGCAAAGAAATGTTGCACCCAATATATGTTGCGAAACAATTCAACATTCATTATTCGACGAAATCGTCAATGGATTACAATCAAATTTGTATTTAATTAAGTTGTATTATAGGTCATATACTCAATTAGTTTTATTACTATATTTTATTTCGCTTCAGCTAAAATTGTATTGAAATCATATTTAAATGAGCTATATGGGATACAAACTCAACTGTATAAGCTAAATTTCAAGCAGAGGATCGCAATTCCTTATTTTAGGTATACACGGTTTGGACAAAAGTGACTAATTTCATTCATATTCCCACACAATCTGTAAGAAAACTTCTTCTTTTAGTTTTATTAAAATATCACACATTTTGTCAGGTGGAAAATTTGGAAATTATTATACATATTTTATTGGGGACAGAGAAAAGGATGAACTAATTGATTTAGTTTTGACATTGCTGAGGTATACTTGAGACCATACTTTCAAGCAATTTTATAAATATATAACTCATACATTGAACGTTTGTTCGGCAGAGGTTTGATAAGATAACGAAAATCAATATACCTACGTAGTATTTAGGAGTTGCGTAATTCGTAGACTAAATTCACATACTGTCGGCATTAAACTAGAGTATATCCAGTATTAATCAGTTAATTTTGCTAAGAAGTTTGAAAAAGTTAGGTTTATGAGGGATAGGGGTAGTATTGACCCGATTTTATCTATTTTTGGCAATACAACATGCTATTAACAGAATAAAATACTCCCTGAGTTTCATTAAGGTACCTCACATACCATCACCAACATATGTACGTAGAGTAAAATCAACCGGACGTTTGAAAATTCTGTGATTGGTTATATGAGGGCTAGGGCAAGTTTTCACTCGATTTTACTCATTTTAGGCAAAAAGATGAAACATTATAAGGAAAATACATCCACTTAATCCTTGAACAGTTATGGTCCGATTTTGACAATTTTAAGACTTAAGTAGGCGTGGTTGGAGTCCGATTTTGCTCATTTTCTCATTGTGAGATGGGATTGTTAAAATAATTTTATGTACCAAATTTTGTTGAAATTGATCAAGTAGTTTCGGGGATATATGATTTCGCCTAAATGTGGACGGTGCCACGCCCATCGTCAAGTTTTGTCAACGGTTCCTTTAAACCCCTTTGTGTCATTCTGGATGTAAAATTTAATGTCTCTGACGCATTAAGTTATTGATTTATCGCACTTTTAGTAGTTTTTAACAAAACCGTTATATAGCGAGTGGGCGGGGTTATCATCCGATTTCATCCATTTTTACACAGTTGAAGGAAATGTTATAAATATTTATTTTGTGCAAATTTGGGCTATACAGCTTGAATGGCCTAGGAGAAATATACATGTAACTTATTAGAAGGTGGGGCCACGGCCCAATCTTCTGTACCAAATTACAGATAGACATTTGTATATCATAATTTAGTGCTAAGTTATGGCGTTTTATAAGTTTTCGATTAATGGCATTTTGTGGGCGTGGCAGTGGTCCGATTATGCCCATCTACAATACCAAACTGCAAATAGTGTCAAGAACAAGTTTCAGCAAGAGATCTTAATTTTTACTCACCTTACAGCTTGCACGGACTGACGGATGGACAGACAGACAGACATCCGGATTTCAGCTCGTTTCGGCATTCTGATCCTTTATATTGTACATATATATATAACCCTATATCTATCTCGATTAGTTTTGGGTGATGACCAAAAGTATTATACTTTGTAGCAACATTGTGCATGAGTATAACAACATTTTGCATGTGTACTTTAAGTTTCAATAAAAACAACGAGCGAAACGAGTTTTATAGTGTATTATTTCTGCGATTTCTGGCCATTAACCCCAGTTACTATCCTAGATACTTTAATATACTTATAATATATATATATATATATATGTATTGAGAATAGTGCAGTGCAAAACCAAAGAATAAGGTTAACGTGTCCGAATAAATATTCGAACATTGTTTTATCTGAAATCGAGTGAATGGTTGATGGAACTTGAATACATAGGTCAGAGTCTTCTTTCTGACTAAAAGAAGGCTCAGTCTTTATGACGGTATCGATATTGTTTCTTCGTTGTGTACCATCTTAGATCATTGTTGTCAGTCTTATATAATCTTTCATTGATTATTGAGATGGCATATTTTTACTTCAACCACATATGGAACTTCGGGATTAATTAGGTTGTGTTCACTCCAATTCATATATGGAACCCGAGTTTTTTTGATTGACTGCCATATGTTTGTACAGTTTTTAAAATAATTTAAATCATTCATTAAGGGGTAGTTATTTGACCCACTAAATTATATTGTTGAAATACGCATATAGTCTTTTCTTGATACGACCTATTCAGGCCTTAAGATACACAGGGAATGTACCCCCAATTGTGGTCCCATGTTGACTACGCACCACTTTGATAAACCGTCTCAATGGAAGTAGAATTAGTATCCAGTACGCGCGCCATCACGAGCTCAAAGTAGCCAACCCAACCCAACCTTCATCCCGCTTCAATCTTTCTGCAAAAACCACCAGGTTTTTCCGCGCACCCTCCCCCAGCTACAACAACGGACTCCAGAGTAAGATCGAGGAGATAGTTGATCGATAACCCAGCTAAACACCCGCAAAGATGCTTATGAGTTGTGCAGGTTTCAACGTTTAACGTGAAAATAGTGAATGAATTAATGGTGAAAGCCTCGCATTCATCAGATCATTGCTATCCGATCAGGCGATGTCGATCTCGAAATGTTTAATACATACATCCTCCAGCGTAGGAGGACATGGAAATTCCCGCTGGTGGTTGAGGGAATTTCGAGATGTAGAAATTAAACAGTAGCGGGGAGAAGACGCCGCCCTGATAAAGCCTAAAAAGCATAACCTGGCGACTTATGTTAACTCTCGCATCAACGAAATGGTTAGAGCACTTGTGAGTAAAATTTGGACTACTGTCAAACCCTTGTCCTATTTTAGCCGGCAATTTACATTGCACTCTTCAACTTACAAGGCCAAAAATTGCTTACCCGACGGCTACGAAAAATGCCAAGACTGAGCCCCACTGCTGAGGAGGTTCAAGGTGTCATCGACAGGGCTAAATCGGCATAATCCATAGACTCACTGAACTGAGCTTCTAAATCTGTGACTGACCACTCTAAACATAGTCGATATGTGAAAAATCGGAAACCTGGGAAAGCCGCAGTCGAACAATGTACACTCCTCTCGCGGGCTTAAGAGGTGGATCATGCTATATTTGAACGGTCGCAATCACCCGCCTTATTTGTACTTCAAATTCTATATATAAATACTTATGAAGAACTAAACAGGGGTTAGATCTCGAAACTCCTTCAACCACCAGAAGGAATTTCAATCACCTCATACGAAGATAATTGTATGATATTCACGTCGGACAATGGAATAGCGTATATAATCCTCTCCAAACAGTTTCTACTTGAATGATTTCTGAGAAATCAGCTTTGCAGTCATCTGCTTGTAGCGGTTTCTAAACAGCTCATTGATTAATGTCGACGCTAAGCTCTAATTTCTTACCTCAAAGAAAGGTGTGATATAGAACAATAATCATTTTCAATATAATAACTTATGTTAGCCAAAAGTCAACGTGGCCGATTGGGACTAATAGGTGTTGTCGGGTATTGCTAATGTACATTGTACAGAACGATACAACCGTACTAAATGTATCATTCCCCATGGATACACATATACATACATATGTATATGTAAATATTAAAATAATTTAAGTATCCATAGAGACTATGTAGGACATCCTAAAAGTGTTAGCAGAATAAAAAACATGTTTTTTTTGGGATACGAAAATCAAACTTATGTATATTTGTTCTTGTATATATTTTTTTATCTTTTGAAAAAATGTAAATAACTTCAAAGCATAAATACTTTGTAAAGTGTATTTTTCATCATTTTCTTAAGGTCAGCCGAAAATGCATTAAGTATCCAATTTATATAGAAACTGGTTTGTTCACGTATATATAACATACAGAATATACATATAAATTAAATATAACTATAAGTACAAAAGAGCCGAGAGTGTGAGCGCGCGCAGGCAATAAATAGTTCTACAAATGTCATGGCAAACGCGTCATAGCACTATAGTCAAAAATAGACAAAGAGAACAAAGTACTACGAACAAATTTCACTTTTTTTCATTTTTAGTGCAAAAAGTGCCAAAATTTTCGCTCAACTGACACACGCACACGCCCACTGCACTTTTATTTAAGGGATAGTAATTGGCTTTTATCTTTAATTAAGTTATTTATAATAATAATAATTTTTGTCACACAAAGGCAATACATATAGATTAGGAAGGAAGTATACTTGAAATTTATGAATTTCTTTAATTATCCGTTGCTGCAGCTTAGAGACGCTGTAGCAAGTAATTTTATATTTGTTTGTGTGGAGAGAAGCGAATAGTCGAAGTAAATGCGATTGTTATTGTTGTTGCAATTTGTACGATGCGTACAAACAATATTGTTAATTATTTTAGATTATTTTGTTTGTGAAGTGCTACTATCGCATCGCAACACTTTACTCAACTGCCGGCACTTTACCAGAAGCCACCAGAAGAGAAACCGCCGGGAGGCACACGCCCGCGTGACTGTTGTTCATTGCCGCCAGTCTGACTAGCCGGACCGCCAGTAGGTGTGGTGGCAGCCGTGTTAGCCTTTTGTGTTTCAGGCTCCGATTGAGCTTGCTTATTATGTGTAATCTCTTCACGTAGTTTCTCCACCTTTTTATTCGGATCCGTCGAATTCATACAAGCATTCATGTTGGAAGAATTTTGTTGATTGTATTTCGGACGTGGCGCATTAACGGCAACCTCGGGCTCAGAAAAGATATTGGAGTGACCGCCACCAGGTGGCTTTAGAACACGGCTGGATGGACGAGTGCTGCAGGTAAGGCCGCAACGAGTTTCGGTGGAAGTCATATTCATTGATTAAGTGTCCTATTAGGATTCCTTTATGCAAAAGATGATAAACTTGCTGCAGATACAGGCTTTAATGAACACAATAGATGTTGTGAGTCTGAAAAAAAATAAATAAAAAATTAATATAAAGAATAAATTTTTAATAAAAAATATCTACGCTCATTTTATATCTATAATCGGTGTAAATATATTTAAAAAAAAAAAAGCTAATTGAATCACAAACGCTTATACCGAAATAACTGGCCAAGTTAAGCGAAACAGCACGACTGGTAGACTGACTTTAACTAACTGAATCATAGACAACACCCCAGGCAACGGCTGACACGACAAATGACTCTCACTGACTGGCTGACGGACTGGCGCGCTGCTGGCCGCACTCAAGCGTATACAGTTAGTTGCCGCAGCGGCGCGTCTAAAGTAACCACACCAACAACAATGTTAACAACATTAGTAACAATGACAATGATGGTAATAGTAAACCAGTGAATACAATAATAACAAAGTAAAATCAACAGCGAAAACTTTCACAACATTTTTTGTTGCTTTTATTTTGAATGTTCTCTCTTGTGTCTGTGCCAAAATGAAATTTGCCACTCACTGCCAATCGCAACATACATAAATATGTTCTCATTGTATGTATATAAACATATACATAGCCTTATTTATATGTATAAACATTCATCAGCATCACAGTGATTCACTAATATAGTAGAATAAGTCCTTAGCTGTGTATACATCAACCTAGAAATTGGTCGGTTAAGGTATCGTTAGTATACCTACAACCAAAAATAATAGCAACTAAAAAAATAAATAAATAAAAACTGAAAACAATTAACACAAATGAATTTTAAAAAAAATGTAAGGAAGGGCTAAATTCGGGTGTAACTGAACATTTAATACTCTAGCAACTTGTCAAGATCAAAGCCACGGAAATACCTTTAGGTACATAAGGTTTGCTAGAACAACGAAAATCAATATACATACATATATACAAGTATGTAGTATATAGTTTGGGTAATTTGTGAACCATTTTCACATATTTTCGGCATTAAACTATAGTATATCCAATATTTTACGTTCAGTCAAATTTGCTAAGGTATCTTACTTAATTGCCAATATAAAGTCAGCAGGTAGTTCGAAAATTTTTCTATTAGGTATATGGGGGCTAAGGGAAATGTTGACCGGATACAACGCATTTTTGACATACCGACATGTTATTATCAGAAAAGGGTTCTCTTCGAATTTCTATAATAAAATAGGAACTTCGGTCCACATATTCGGTATCTAGGGGCTTGAAAAGTTTTAGTAGCTTAATAATTTTTGGTAATAAGGTGGCGCACTTCAAAGGCACTATTCGTGCAAAATTTTATCCCGATTCATTCATTGGTGCGTGATTTGCATACTGGAAAGTGAAAGAATGAGATGAAATTTAAAATTGTGTTATTTGGGGAAATAGGCGTGGTTGTAGTCCGATTTCGCATTAAAACATAGGAATGTCAATGTAATATTACATAACAAATGTGGTCGATATCGGTCGAGTAGGTCTGAGATATGCGTTTTAACGTATTTTGATCCCAGGTTCTATAAAGTTCTCTCGTATAACTCTAGGTGTAACATTTAATGTCTCTGGTTTAGGAAACATGTATATTTAGTGCTAAGTTAAGACATTATATAGATTTCCGTTTAATTCGTTTTGTGCACCACTGGTACCAAGGAACCCGTGTACCAGGTTTCATTAGCATATCTCCTTACTTATCTCGACTAGTTTTAGATGATACAAACAACCGTTAGGTGAACAACACTATTATACTCTGTAGCAAAATGTTGCAAAAGTATAAAAATATTTCGCAAAAACGCTCGTACAGAGCAACCTATTTATATTTTCTAAAGGTAATAAAAAAATTAAGAACTCACAAATAAAATGTTGAATAGGTAATACTTGAGCGTTTAGTTCGAGAGAAATCTTGAATTCGACAGTGTGCGACAAAATCGTACGTAAAATACCTTGTCGGTATTTAAATGAATAAAATAATATATAGACATTTAATAATTTTATTTTTATTATTAATGCCCTAATAATAGTTCTTTTTAAATTAGTAATAATTAAACAAATATACTTAATACATGTGCTCGAAAGTAAACAGCTACCTCTCCGACGCTTCTTCTCTGCAAAGAGTCTGACACTCTCCCCCACTAAATCCACAGCGACCATTTTCACAAACTGAACGAAGGAGTACAGACTGGATCAGAACATATCCGCGATAACTGCCAAAGTACAGAGACACAACAAAATCCTCAAATCGCTTGCCGGCACATTGAACACTTTATGCTTCCGGTTATGGGAACATAACCAGAGTGACGCTCGCCCAACTTCGTTCTGAATATTGTAGCAAGTTAAACTCCTACTTATCCAGAATAGACCCCGACATTCCAAACATATGTCCTGCGTGCAATGAGTCTCGCATGATACTAACCACATCTTTGCATGTCCGACCCCGTCGAAACAGCTTGTTTCTTGGGCCTCCAACCAAACTTAACTTATAACTTATCATCCAAAAGGGGACTAGATAACCGTTACAACAACAACAACCATTCTTTTTCCATTTTTGTCCACCGACTGATTTCTTCAGCGCTCCCAATAGGTGTTCAATAGGATTGAGATTCGTGAACAGGAAGGGGCATTCCATAATGTTAACTTTATTGCGATGAGTCCACGATTTTACGAGTTTCGAAGCTTGTTTCGGCTCGTTGTCATGCATGAACTCCCACTTTAGTGGCATGTACTCCTACGCATATGGCAGTATTACAATATTAAGGATGTTGAGAAAATCTGTTGAAAACATTTTGCCTTGTATCTAATAAATAGGCCCAACTCCAGCTGCCGTAAAGCATCTCCATAACATTATTGATCCGCCTCCGCGTTTAATTGTTTTTCATGTATACCTGAGGTTTAAATTCCGCATTTCGAGGTCGTAGTACAAAAGTTTTCCAATTTATACGATGCTTGTGTTTCTGAGAATTCTTGCATATCTTAAATTTAGACCAGCGTCCCTGATGCATTAAGTAATTTTTTAATATATTTCTTTTCACTTTCCGTACAATGTTTCCCGCCCTCCATTTTATATAAAAATATTTACATGTTATGTAATACAGTTAATTTCAACAAAACAATAAATGGGCTCTTAATTTCAGAAAATTTCGTTGGGATCTATTCTTCTATCTATTTTTCTGAGCAAACTAATAAATAACTAAATTTGTCCCTATTATTTTTCTCTGCTCATACGTAGCACATGTACCTAAAATCATACTTTTTTGTCGTTATTACAGTAGTAAAGAACTGTTTGGTAGCATTAGTTTACAGTTAACTTCAATACTGTGGGACAAATATAAGCAAATCTGTGCTATAAACTATGTGAATAAAGGTGATGTCCCGATTATTTTTCCCAACACTGTATGTATGTATGTATCTGCACAATACACATTTCATGTAAAGTCATCGTCTTCACTTCCGATGCAGCACATATTGCCAGCTGACGTTCAGGTTCTGCTTCGAATGTATTTAACAATATATAAAACAAATATACATAAACATTAATAATTATGTGTACGCATATTTAAACTTATATAAAGAGATGAAATTCCCCTATTATATGCTAGATACCGCATATGTACATATGTACAGCGACATCATTTAGGGACGGTGGAGGATTACTGGCGTCTAGTCGGTAGCTCTGCATTCTATTGCAAGTGTATGGTTTGTCATGACAAGTCCTCTCTTAAAAGCTAAAAACAAACCCGCTGGCAACTTTTCATGCAACTTTATTGCTGCAACATTATAGTTATGATGAAGACAGTGTGATACGACAATTACACATACAAAAAATATGTTACCCCTATACATAACAATGCTGTACAGGGAAACAATGAACTCGTACGAGTCGAAAACCTCATAATTCGATGGCAAATATAAATTTATGTGTGTATGAATATTTCACTAAAGTTGACACTTCTGTTTACAACTGAAAGTTAGTTTTGTCTATTTTCAAAAAAGTATTTTGCAAAACTAAAGAAGTGCTTATTATTTGAAACAAAATATAAAATTGTTAAAGTAGAAATCTACACAATTTTTGAAAGTTGTTCCTTTATTGGTACATAAGTCTATGCTGAACAGTTTGATAGTTATGTTATATACATACTTATAACTCTGAATATGGAACATCTTTAACCCTAAGGTATGTAAAAAAAAAATATTACGATACAGCAAAGAATAACTATCACATCACTTCATTCTTCTAAAACTTATGCCTTCCGCTAAATCACAGTTCCTACCTATGATATAGCTATAAAGTAATTTGTGGAGATAGTAACAGCAATACGCAAATCGTGGCGGCTAATTTCACCTTCAAAATTAGCAGATCGACGAGCTATTTTGTAGCGCGGAGATTGCAAAAAGGCAACATACTCAATAGCAAGTATTGTATTGCCATAAATGCAAATGACACGGTTCTAACTTTAATTTATGTATATAAAATATTGGTATTTTAGGAGTAGACAATGAAATGTTTTTAACAGTAATTTCAAATAGGATGTTATTGCAAAATTATTAATTATTTTATTTAGTCTTTAGCTAAATCCAATTTATTACAATTAAATAAAATTAATTGATAAACGCTTTTCCGATTTGTCATAAATACGTATTATACCTATATACCCATAATTATTTGAAAATATACTAATGAAAAAATTCCTAGCCGTTTGCTTTTAGTGAATTTACTTCAATTCTATCGAATGTCTACTCGGAATCGGATTTTACAAAAGCTAGATTATTTTAAAATTTTTTGTTATGTCAACAGGTAAATTACCATGATGCGCAATTCATTAAGTTATTTACGTTAAAACAGTAACTAGAATACAAGTATATAGTAAACATAGATATCCCCACCTTTACGTAGTTATGTACAAGTAATATAATATTTTGAACGGTGAATCAGACAACCTTTACGTACCTGAGCCAAAAATAATAAAAAATTATTTACTTTGCCTCGGTTTCCGTTCTATGACTTTGCATTACCTCTTACCAACGCTACAGGCTAATAACGTAGTTGTTGTACTTGATATACATATACACAGTATGTGCCAATTCAAATAGAACTGAAGTTCTTCCAATGCGTTTATTGTAAAACTTGACCTAACCGATTATATCTGGTTTGAACTAGGCAAACAAAATAACAAAAAGCTTCGACAAAGCACTATAACTGATTGAATGAAGAAACTCGAACCACAGTAAATGATACTCCCTATATTAAATTTGCAGCTGCTATCGTAAATGACATCTGGAGAACATTACGAAAAAAAGGCAACATTCAGCTACGCAGCCAAACAGGCCGACAAAAATGGAAATGCACCAAAAACGGCATAGTCGAAGCACGATACCAGACGCACACAAACGAGCAAATAAAAATTCCACTGGTATTTTGGGCGGCAATCTTCGGTACGCTTGTGGAACAACCAAATGTCGCTTTACTTGCTCAACTTGTAAGCACCGTCGCAGCTCGCAGCTATTTTTACTTTGCTAATTTCAAATTACAAAAACTCAACGGGAGCCATTTTGGTTGAATTTTCTGCATATATGCATTCTCCCTAACCCAATTAATTAATGATGAACCAAACCCCAATTTGTTGTGGTATGCAATGTAATGTAAACTTTCTCTACCACAATTCAGACATAATCGATTTTTCGCAAATATTACAAACGTCTATTTTCAACCTACCTCACCATTTCCTTTTCTTAAGTACATTCACTGTGATATTTAGATATAAATTATTATTTACCTCTTAATTTCCTTATTAGTTATTTCCAACTTTCACTTAGTACACTAAATACAGCAGTTCAGAAGATGTTTTCGCGTGTTAATTTCCGTTAATAATAAAATCCAACAATGGAATTTACAAAATTCGAATAGAGTACAAATTCGGCTTTTGACAGGGTGCTAAAAGAAAATTTGAATTGCTGTACAAAAGGTAGCTATGCAATGAGACACCCCAATACTACTTACTAAAACCGAACCTTTTTTTTTAAAACACTAAATTTACATATTTCTGAAACGTCTATAAATGAGACAAAACTATTGGCATTTTATATAATTTTGTATTAGACTATTCAATTAATAATAATTAGACAAGAAAATAATTTAAGCACATGAATTCTGCTCAAAATATTGTGTTAGCACGATGTCGAGTTAAGCAACACTGAAAGCGAATTACGGCTAAATGTTATCGATAAATTCATATAAGTGTGGGCCCACGGCGAATTCATATAAGGTAGTACCCAGCAAGTTACCCCATTTTAAGAAAATTTCAAATTACAGAAATCTCTAGCTCTTGAGTAATTAACTAGTGACTAACCCGAAAGTTGACTTGCAGGGGTAGCAACAGATCGACTGACTTCATTTTTATAATTTGTTTGTGAGTTATCCCAAATTGATAACATGTTGTTGATTTTCTTTTGTTGAGTTTTTGCGGTACCTCTTTCTAATCATACGTTTTCGCAATTTTTGAAATTTACTGTTAAGTATTAATTATAATAAAAAAATAATATAACAGATATTTCTAAATAAGTCAATAGTGAAATTATTAATATTGTTGTAAATCGAATTAGTATAATAATAATTTTTTATATGCAAAAAAACTGATACAAATAGTTTTTGTAAATTTCGTTTTAATTTTTCACATGGCAACTATATAATGTGCCACTCTCATTGCATTTCTGATATAATTTTCATAATTCGTCTGGGTTTTTTGCAAATATAAGATTTAATTTTGTGATTATTGGAGTGAATATATAAAATGTTTTTCTGAAAATAAAAAATAAACTAAATATGTAGCAAATAAATGAATAAGTTTTATAAAATGTTAAATAAGAAACTTTTGAAGTGTAAATTTAAACAGAGACAAGTTATAGTGAAAGAAAATTGTAAAGTTTTGTAGGGTGGAATGGCAGATAAGAATTAAGTGAAACAAGAAATAAGTAAATAGAAAAAAACGGAAAAATAAAAGTGTTCGGAAGAGGAGGTGGTGGGTGCTCTATTTTAATCGAGGTAGTGTTAAATACAACGGAATTGTCTATCGTATGCCGCAGAACTCCGATATAATTATTTTTTTTCGCATAAACACATAATCTTTGGACATATAAATGCAGTTTTATAGGATTGTAAATAATTGACGTTACTAATCGTCATATTGGAAGATGTAAGTACGCTTTTTAGTTCTGCGAAGGGTGCTGTTGGTCATGTTTGGTTTTACAATACATAGAAGAAAACAAATAAAGTAAATTGCTTATATGCATACATCTGTATGTTTATACAATATTAACGTGCAAGTGGTAGAAGAATAGGCTAAAAATAAAATTAACAGAAAAGGGAATGCAAACAGCAGAGACGAGTACAGCTGAGAGCGCAGCTGTTTTGTTGCCGACATTCGAGATTTCCGACACTAGTTTGTGATATGGCACTATTCATGTAATCTCTTACATGGATACATATGTATGCGGGGCATGAAAAACATACAGTAAGTTTAACAATTTGAACGAGTATAAGACACAAAATTCTAATAGCAGTTTGCTTCCGCCGGTAAATGTAGAGCACAATAACGTCGGTTTGATCCCGATATCATACTCTCTTTTTATACATTTTTTTAATTTATATGCAAAAATACATTACTCATCAATTAATTTCAAATCAGTCTTTTTCAATTTTGTCACCGTAAGTTATGAGTGGTTTTTATTATTAGTTAACATGACATGATTGTTGTTGTTGTTGTAGCGTCAGTAAACATTCCTGCATCGACTAATGGTGCCGAGTTGACACTCCTTGGGCTCTTAAAGAGCCTAACTTATATATGACAGGATTAAAACGTTTTAGAGGTTTAGTTATGTGTTTCCAATACGTGGATACATTTGTATCTCTTCGAATACACAGGTACATGTACATATGTACGTTAACTAATAACACATTTTTTATTTAATAACTTTTTTATATGTATATTCAATTTGAATACATACATATTTAGATTTTGCGTATATATGTCAATTGTTATATATTTTAATTAAAGCATATTACCCTTTATCCAAATTATGAGTTCTTCGCTTTACACTAGTAAACTTAAAAATTTCTGGTCAAAATTTGTAAATTGGTAAAATTTGGTTATAATTGCAGGTACCAAATAAAATATTATTAGTTATTATTAAAATATTAGCAAAATAAAAAAACTGCTTGGTAGCAGTCGTAATTATTGTATATTCTAGTCAATCTCACTGGCACAGAGTTGAAAACCGTGTTATTACAAAAAAATTGAAGTTTGAAAATACCTCTGCAGGATTTTTTTGACGGAATTTATATCGATATACCGATTTTAAGAACTTCAATGCATACTTTTATTTTCTGATTAATTAACTCTTGAGCTATATGTTTTGTTAAATTGATATGATATTTTGTAGTAAGAATGTTAGGCTGTGTTTTTAATATTTTAGCTCTTGAATATGGTTTTTATTTTTAACAGCTGTTATTGATAAAGAAACGTTGTATTGATGTAGTGATCAGGTTGCTTATATAGGAGGCACATAAAATTAAAAGGAATATAGACACACGACAGTACTAGTACATATGTACATATGTGCTTATTTTTTGCTTGATTGTAAATAAATGATCACACAATGTTTCACTTAAATGCATATGATTATGAATTTTTTTATTTTCAGCTGATTCGACAAAATAGACATATAAAATTGGGCAATGAATACACGTGCATTGTCGAACTAATAAAATGCAGTAACGTGTTAAACTCTAATTCCTGAAGATAACTGAGAAAGTTTAAGTAGCAGTATAATGGAGAACAACGGAGACGAAATGCGGCGCCATATACGTCATGAAATTGAAGTTCCAGCCTATCATCATGAAATGGAAATCAACGATGATGGACGTAAGTTATAACACACTGTTTATTTTTTATTCAACCCTATTTGCCTCATTATGTATATTTCTTTGAAACAAAGTTTTTATTTTTCAGCCGACTCGTATGGTCTGGTCTATGATCGTGGTGACCGCACATCGACTTTGGGATTGGCAATCGAAGTAAATAACACATCTACTTGGTGATGGATCGACATTTCGGTCGCTCACACTTAGTTTCTGCACATATAAATAATTATTATATTGATATATTTATATTTTTTTAGCAAAGTCCATTAACATTCTATATGGGTACATCCGCCGAATCTACTGCAGCTACAGCCGCGGTAACAAACTATCACAACTTACACAGCTATCCGCCACCTGTACTCACACCAACTACACCCCCTAATGCAACAACACACTATGAAGGTGTCACCACAACGATATCTTATGATCCTGCTGTAAATGCACCATCACCTTCCGTGTCTACACAACCAATGGTTAGTTCTATTGGAGTACAGATGTATCCACCGGTACGACACCATATGCATCATTACAATCACGTACATTCCCATCGACATGCTCTGACACATCGACCCCATCATATAGTGCACTCGCACATTCATCCACATGTGCAGCAGCATCAGCACCAAATTCACCATCAACAACAGATTACGCACTCAGCAACATCCACCGTACAAATGGATGGTGATATTCCAAGCGAACGTTGCGCGTATGATGCTTGTTTGATAAGACGTGATCCTTATTTGGTGTGCAACAAATGTTTGTCTGACACATGCCACTGCGCACATAGATCATCTAGCGGGTAATTTTTTTTTATATAATATTTACATTTGAATTTGACTTCTAAACTAACTTATAACAAACTTTCAGACTTAACCACTCGTCTTACGACACTGTACATGGCGCAGATCATATGCACAACCCACATCATGAACAACAACAGCAAGAAACATTATTGACAGCTAATGTTATTACAAATGAATTGCCAAGGGTTGAGCATATGGATATTAGTGAGGTGCCAGAAGGTGCGAATGTAAATGTTGCTACTAGTTCCAATACAATTATGCACTTGCCAGACACTGAAGAAGCCGGAGCAGTTGACGCTGTTAATGATGAGCACGATTATGCTATAGGTAGTTATTGGGCACCTTCAGATCCTTCTAGTGATGGAGCCGTCTTAACATTGCAACATGCTTCTGCTACTGCTGATACTCAAAAGACTGATATTAAATGCAAACAATTGCTTGCCAACTCCACCCCAAAGGGTGATGCAAATGCAACACTAAACACCGCCGCCTTTGGTTCCGAAAATCAAAGGCATTTGACCCACAACAATACTGTCCGTACACCTCATTATGCTGCAGTGTCTACTATAACCAGTAGTGCTATGGCAGCTGGATCATCGGCTATCGCCGATGGTAATGCATCCGTCGACTCTCTCGATGATGACATGATGGTAGCATCAACCACGACCGCTACGAACGATGTCGGAAACGAGGAGTCGGAAGGCAACCGAGGATTAACAGGTGATATAAGGAATAACCGGTTAGAGCTGTCGACCAGTGCAACGGCTATTGAGAGAGATAATGATGAAAATTTACAGTCACCTACTGAATCTAGCGAGGCGTTAGCCCATACAAATGAGACATTTCATACATCACCAATATCACTTAATAACAGCGACGAGGTGACATCAGCATCTGACACAGAACGCGTTCATTTTGCGGACACATGCACCACCAACACGACTACAACAACATATGCTATAAAGAAGCAGAGTAAACCTACGAATGCAGTGGGCTCTAGTGGCGGCAATGGTAACGGTAGTAATAGTGGTGGTGGTGTTGACGGCAGAAGCAGCGTTAGCAGTTCGATCAGTAATCGTGGTTCTGTGGGCAACGTAGACGATTCTACTGACTTGGATGCATTACCCAGCTTTAGTGGAGCTTCTAACAACAACTGTGCCACACCTAACGGCTTTAGTGATGAAGCGCATTCATCGACTAATTTTCGCTCCGTCGGCAGCTCAGCATTTGCTTTATTCAATAACGATCACAGTCGAGCTCCGCATCAGACAGATGATGATGGTGGCGATGATGATGATGAGATTATTTGGAATTTGCATAAGCCGCTCGTTCATAGTAATACCAGTACCCCCGGAGGAGTACAACACGTTAAGCCTAATCCGCATGAATTCCTGCGTTGGCGGGAACGTGAACGCCAACGCATTAAGGATCGTGAACAGCAACAGTTTAGGAGAGGTGGGGTTACTAACGCATGGTTGCGCAATTCAAGGGAAGATGAAACGGATCGACGTGAAGTCTATTCACAGGAAAGAGCGAGTAGCAGTCGTCCAGCAGATGCTACTCCAAGGGCCGCCAAAATTCCCCGTATAAGCAGCAGCCTTGCGCGATCTAATAATGATAACGCTAGCACTGGTACTATATCTGTAGATAATGATGCTGCAAACTGCAGCGGTTCCGCCGATATACAGACTGCGCGTCGTAAAATATGGCGCATGCTGAATGTGCATGAGTCCAGCGAGGTGGATGAGGTACTACAACCACCCTCTACTCAACATGTGCCTGATATCAGTCGGCCTTTGACCCTACCCAGTAGTACAGCGCCATCGGACAGTGGTGCGGCAGTCGAACGGGGTTCATACGTGATCACATATGCGGGTCATAGTGTTGGTCATTCGACAGACAGCAGTGTAGTGCTTCTAGAAGACAGTGACTTGGAGGAGCATCCCCATATTTACACCACTGGGTATTCGGTGGAATCTGCGTCTGATGCGGGTGAGGTAGGCGCTTCAGTAAATTTACCCACAGAGGTAACGGCGGTATCACAACCTACGATAATGCAGCCCTACATCGATGACGAGCAGCCAACTTATTCGGGAGCCGTAGCTCCTAGTTCTATTGAAGCTTCTACATCCGCCTGTGGAGCGAATAAACCCAGTTCGATAGCCACTGTGACAAGAAATTCAGCATCCATGGACATATCCAATCGAAGTGGTGATGGTGCAGCTGTGTTAACCGCACCCGATTTGCAATTGGATTGGTTATCGGATTCCACAGGAGACGACGATGATGTTGTTTTCGTTCATTCCACTCGTGAACCAATACTATCAATTGATCTTACCACCGACGAGGATACGCCTGCCCCAGTACAAAACGTAAGTCGAGATGACGGTACTGTAACAGATTCTAATGAAGCAACAATAGAGGGGATGGATAGCGCACAATCGAATTATTTCCGTTTAAATGCGCAATTTAGAGATGTTACAGCAGGAGGCCCCTTACTGCATCCATACGCAGTGGTACCACCGGGCTATCAACAATGGGATGTAGGCGGTCCAAATAATCAGCAACAAGCGTCTTCCCATATTGAAACTGATGAACCTCTAGCGCATCCGCAACACCATCACGAATGTATGAGGCATGCGGTTTATCAGCCGCAACAGGCGCATCAACCACAACATCAGCGCTTCTCCTCACTGCTGCGTAATCGATATTACAAGTATATACCCCGTCCAGCTCCAAATCCATTTTACGAACCACAACAAGCTCATCAGGCACAGCACCAACGGCCCATGATGCATGAGCTGCATGGCCTATGTCCGGAAATGCGACGTCTTCAACGTTCACCGCAATTGAATTTGCCTACGGCGGCCGCCACGATAGGTCGCTCAGCGTTACCAGTTCTACGCAGCGGTGCCACAGCAACAGCACCAAATACGGATGGTGCAATCATTTCGATACCCACCATTGAAGAGGTGTCTTTGCAGGATTTATTTGGGGGTCGTGTACCAGGGGCTCATGTTCCTATGCACCCACTTCAGAGTCGCAACGAAGGAAACAATCTTCTCTATTCAACGCGTCCTCCTGGCCCTTCACGTTTCTCCAGGGGTATACCTGCTGTCAGCCTTAGCGACAGCGTTGACGCAGCTGACAGTTCAAATATTGCTGTTGGCAGCAATGGTCCATATTCAAATGCGTCAGTTGGTGACAACAACAACAATACTAGTAGTCCACCCATACCGCAAATTGCGCCATTTTATTTACACTGTCGACGCGCCGATGATGAAATGCCGCCACTTCAACGAACCATTCAGTCACAACAAGAGCCCTCCCTCATTCCCTCATGTTCGTTCGGTCGTAGTCGTACATTAGCCGGCGCGGCGAACGCAGCCGTAACTGCACGAGCGTATCCGCATACTGACATCAATACTGGACACATGCAAGGCGTATCGCCTACAGCATCTAACTACGTGTCTTCAGCCGCAGCTCCTGCAGTACACCCGCCGGGTCCACCGCCCGAGGCTGCTTCAACACTGACCGCTGTTGGACATTCGAGTAATGGTGGTGGTGGTAGTAGTGTAGGCAGCGATGAACGTGTCAGTGGCATGCTGCCATATCCCACGTTCGCGGTAAATGCACGAGCTCGTGCGCCACTTCCTACGTTGATGGGTCGCCTCCAACCAAGTGGCAGTGGTATTGGTGGCCCTTCTGGTAATACTGGCCATCACAGTGGTGTCCATCATGGCGGTGGAGCACCACCGTATCCTGTGCATCAAAATCTTTGGTATCGCCAGCAACATATACAGGAAATACATCGTCGCCACATGACACCCACACCAATTGATTTGTCCTCGAATCCATTGAATCTAACAAATAGTTTTCGTTGGCGTTCACAGCTACCGAATACGTGCTCGTGTGTGCATGCCAGCAATGGACCGGTGTCCAGTTTAGATCCGGTAAGTTATATCAAAATTGTGCATAAGTGACAATGAGTAATCTCGTTGGCCAATAAAAGAATATAAAGCACTTTGTGCTATCCATAGTACTTTTCTTAAATATATGTCTTATGTGCATGCCCTCTTTTAGGCTTACTATCCTTATGAAGCACAACAGCGTCGTCGTTCGGCCGTGCATCACCACATGTTCCATCATTACTCACCGGTGCATCTGGAAATTGGCCTTTCTACTCCGCTTTCACACATTGGGCCGCACATTTTAATTGGTTCAGCAATAAGACCGAATCGTGGCGCCACTCTGGTAAATATATACTACAGTGGATATAAATATCGTTTATTCATTTGAAATATTAACCGTGATATTAGGAAATTATTGAACGCAACACATTGCCACATAAATACAAACGCATTCGCCGCCCAAGCGAATCTGATGAGGATGCCGAGAAGTGTGCCATTTGCTTGTCATTATTTGAAATTGAGAATGATGTGCGGTGAGTGAACTAAACATTTATTTTTAATGTCATATATAAATATGCGCGTTTTTCACCAAATTATTATTATTGTTGTTGCTGTTTGCATAAATTCCCAAATAACATTGGCGCATGCTGCGAGGTGACAGTTCTTTGTCATAACTAAGGTATTTATTAGCATAAAACATCCCGCGTGGAATCGACCCTCGTGTGAACCGTAACCAGTCTCACTGGGTTCCGTGATTACCATTCAGAGTGTAGAATCAACCGATTTAAAATTATGTTCCTATTTACAAAGTGTTTCAGCTTTCATTTCGTTCCTCTAAATTACTTTCGGTTTAGGCTATAAATAAAAATCTTACAACTATTTTGACAAAAATTTACAAATGAAATAAATTAATGTCAAACATATGGTTGATTACACTCATATATACAAATCATATTAGGTTTACATTCATTCGTCATGGCCAATAAATCTAATAATGGAGAAGTATAAATTTTTAAGTCACTTATGCTTCTGAAGAAAAGTTAGTTTATTGCTGTCTACATCTGATTTTTTTTATAACTTTTTCAAATAAGTTTCTGTTTTGGTTCTGACGACTTAATTGAAAAAAATCGCTTATAGTTCTAAATTCGAAACAAACGAAATTCGAATAAAAACGTCAGCTGAAATTGTTCTTTGTCCTTTAATTGGTTGGTGTAAAATACGCTTTTTTAAGTTTTTTTTTATTTTTTGTTTTTTTTTGTTTTTATTTTTTGTTTTTTTTGTTTTTATTTTTTGTTTTATTTTTTGTTTTTATTTTTTGTTTTTATTATTTGCACGAATTGATTTTCCAACATTTTTCTTCTATTATTTAAATAATTTATGTTACTTATATAGTCCCATGAAAATGTTTACATTTGTTAAAATTAGGCATATCCCATATGTATGTACAATATTTATATCTTTATTTTAGAAAATAATAGAAGGCTCTACAATCGTTCTTTGCTTAATTTTAATTGAAATTGACATATTTACATTTACTTTGCAGCCGTTTGCCATGCATGCATCTCTTCCATACTGATTGCGTCGATCAATGGCTGGTCACAAATAAGCATTGTCCCATCTGTCGTGTGGACATTGAGACACATTTAACCAAAGATGCGACCACCACTAGTGCTTTATGACACTCATCCACCACGGGACTGCTTATGTAAAGTGAGGAGAAGTGAGCGAGCAGGAGAGAGAATAGTAAAACTAATATCTGCTGCGTTCAAAACAAGCAAGAAATCAGATAGAAACCATACAAATATTAGCCTATTTGATCGCAATAAAAAGCAGAATCCCTAGTTATAAGTTATTTAAAAGCCAAAAGAAAAAATATGTAAAATATCTATATTATTATTAAATACAGTATAATGCATGTGAAGAAATGAATTATAGCTTAAAGCTATTTCCTAATTTTTGTAAATATTTATTTTTTATATGTAAATATTTTTTATGAAGTACACGTTTTCCCTTTTTTGATTATTATTGTTTATATTATTTTGTGTTGTAAATGGCATGATGTGTTAAGTAGATAACGCCAAAATTAACTTGTGGAAAGCAAATACAGTTCATTCTTAAATAAGTTTGAAAAATTTGTGTTCGTGCATATCCATAAAACTCAATTCGGAAACACTTAATTTTTTTTCACGTTTGCAATCAAAATTATTAATAAAATATATAAACAATGCTATAGATTTAAAGTATATATACAAAAAATATAGATCTTTCAAAAGTATTTTTTTTTACTAAGTAATTAGTTTACAAACTTGTTAAAAAATAAATAAAACTGATTTGTTTTTGCAGTTTTGCATTGTTAGTTTTGAGTAACTGTATCTCTTTACTGATTTGTTCTTTGTTTTGCTCCAAATAACAATTAATTATCCTTTACAACACATATGATTATTTATATAAAATTGTAATTATTTTTATATATTATTTTTTAGTACTGAATATTATTGGCATTGCAGTCGAAGCTTTGTAACATGAATGTGATAAGCTTTTACTGTAAAAATGTAAAAAAAAATTATAAAATTACACACAAAGACTAAAGAGAGGTGTATTATACATATATATACATAAAAATATGTGCATAATTTATTATGTAAATATATAGCTAACATTCGGTGTTAAATATTTTTTTCTACTGAATTAAAATGCCACATATTTTGTCACTCAGTTATGCTTTAATTGTTAAGTTCGTACAACAGAAATAAAACTGTTGTTACACAGATATAATATTGCTAGAGTTATACTTTTTGGTCACTTGAAAACTAAGTAGTTTATTAATATGACTGAAATTGTGAATTTGATTTGTTGTTGTATTATTTAGCGATTAATTACCTTATTTCAGTACACATACATATGTACGTGTATTCTGTTATAACAGTGATACTTTTTTGCACCTTCATTACAACTCATTACTTGGAAAAATTTAACATAAATTAATAAAAAAAAAAAAACAAATTAAAAGAGTATAGATATCAAGTATAGATATGCATGTACATACACATAAATATAATACAACAACAATTTGCATATTAGTTTCATACAATCGATTTGAATATATGTAAACAGAACGTCATTTTCATTCACACATACAAATACAAATTGAGTCGCATGCACTTGTCTCAGTCTCAAACACTTAGCTTTAGTTTGTGCTCCCAGGCAAAACAATATCATAACCATACAAATACTAGTAGCAACGCTGTGCCATAGCATATTGTATATAAAACCAAAAAGGAAATTGTTTAAATATACAACAAACACAAAATAAAATTCAGTAGTCGTAGTACGATTCAAAAGACCTCAATCACTCAGCAATTTGTAGAGAAAAAAACAGAGTTCCTCCAAGCAAATTGCAGCAAATCAATTATTGTGAATTTTTGTAAATAATTTCTATTACATTATTATATAGATATATAGAAGACATTGTCCTAAAAATTCTATAGAATAATGTCATTATATATATAAATATGTTATAATAAATATATGAAATATTAAATAGAGATATTCCACGATTAAAAGATTGGATTAATTATATAAACTCATACAAACATATGTCTATCTCAATAAATAAGTTGATAAACTAAAATTTCTTTATATAAGCTCTTCCAATTGTAATAAAATAATAGTAAAACTGATGACCACATATTCAGCCGGTGCGTATATTGTTAATTGAAAGTGTTACTCATAAAATCGCTTAGCTTTTACAACTGTAAAACTTAAATATGAATAAAGGAACATATAATAAATGTTTAATATACAATAATACAATCAAAACTGTGTGTATGTAGGGAAGTGGCATTTGTATACGAATGTTGCACCGAAGCTATAATACTCTTCACAAATACAATAGATTCCTTATAAGCACTGTGATCGGACAGTTTGTATGGTAGCTATATGCTATAGGACTCGATTTGAACAATTGCCTTGGAGATTGCATTATTGCCTTAGATAATGATCCATGCAAAATTTCGTGATAATATCTACTCAAATAAAAAAGTTTTCCATACAAGCACTTGATTCCGATCGTTCAGTTTGTATGTCCGTTCGACTCTTAGCTCTGCGGGTATAAACTTAATACTTAAGTAACGGAGATGCCACTGCCGTGATAATGACGTTGATTTTCACTATTTTTTTAGAATTCCTCTGTGACTGGAACAAGTACTTACCCTTAATGGAAATGATAAACTGACTACACTGGTTAACAAAATTTTAACTTACTTTGTCACATGAAAACTCATCAAATTTTGAATTGACAGGCCACGTTTTCTTGTGACATCAAAACATATAGTATTTTCCTAAAAAGTCAGCTACATCATCAGCTACACTTAGAGAAATTATTGTTTAATATACCATAGAACACATATTTATGATTTTCGTGAATATTTGGCTGCTGGAAGGTCTTTAAAGTCTCCAACAATAATCTGCTTGCATCTTTATTAAGGAAAAGTCCTGATGGAACCTCTCGCCTTGTTCTTCACTCATAGCACCCAAATTTGCCGGAAGAAATCCAATCCAGCATATGTATTTATAACGACATATTACACTCCAAAGCTTTATATGACATTATAAGTTTATTTATTAAGTCCTTGTAATTTTCTGATTTATGATTTCCTAGAATATGTTGGACAACGTTAACAAAAAATGTGTATCCGACTTTTTCCTGATCATGCTGTTTTTGTTCAAAGCTCTTATCATTTATCAGTTGCCGTATTTGTAGACCTACAAATATTCCCTCTTTACTTTTTGCCTCGCTGGGTTTGGAGAATTTCTCTTTCAGATACATATATAAATCCCCTGCTATCTCTAGGCATAGCTTTTACAAAAATTTTTATCAGGCCGAGCTTTAGGTGCAATGTGTCTGTTGGCTGAAGACAAGTTTGGATAATGGGTAGTGTGTTTGGACTTGGTTGTAATGCCTTTTGTTTGAGTCAAACAAAAAACCATCCCTTATAATATCCTTTGGTTCGTTCTAAATCGTTGGTATAGCAAAGGGCATATGTCTGGGTTCTTGTTTAGCACAGCCTAATAGCAGTCTCACACACGTTACACAACATATATGTGGAACCCAGGATTTATCGTGATTTCTCATAGAAAATCCAAAATAGTCTAAATAGCACTGTTCCATTAATGACGTATATATGTATGTAAGTTAGTCGAATGCAATAGATATACTGTCAGAATGTATGTGTAGCAGTTACAAAAAAAACTGTACGTGATTGAAACAAAATTATTATATATTGTTAATGCGGGTTACACCAACATAAACAAAAATTTTCAAAAGTTTTAATATTAGATTAATATTGTTTATTGGTGTTTCGTTTTTTCCATAAACCAATTATAATAAAAACAATAAAGTATAATTCGATCTTTATATACGAAGTTAATAAAAGCTTCCTTGAGTACCTTACATTGGTAAAAAATAACAGCTCTGTTCATAAGCAATGTAAAACGATTGTTCTCCCTACCCTACGCACTATATACAGCCACAATACCAATATCTTCTGAGTTATTGAAACGTAATTCAGACTCTCTATTACTCCTTCAACGAACGCAAATCCGGGTAGAGTGTGCCCGCTGGGACAAAATGTGTTTCCGGATGTCGTAATTTAGTTTTATAATCATCAATGACAGCTTTGCCCGTATTCTTAGCCATCTTTTTCGCCAAACCCTTAGGCGTAATGTAGTTCACATTTTGACTGACATTGAAAGCGTTACCGAGAGTATCGAAAGTGCCGGCTGCAACACCGCCGGCTGAGGAGCCATATCTGAAAAAATTCTTGCAATTCAGTTAAAAGATTTTTTAGCCTCCAATCCACTTACTTATGCTCAATTATTTTCACTGAGTTTTCGCTCAAATTTGTACCCAGTATCTTCGCTGACGTCTCGAGGCCATTGTAAACGGTGCTGAAACCCTCCACCGCACCGGCAGCTATTGTCATAGCGCCTTCCATTTTACTGTTCGCTTCGCTGGTGTCATAGCCAAAGCCTTTCTGCAATAATGCGGAGCCAGCGTTTTGCACATGTGGCGCTAGGTAGCGGCCGATAGCCATCGAGGCGGAGCCCACCTTGCCGGCTATCCAACCAGTGACGCCCGCTGCCGCATGCGTCACATCGCGCGCCACCGCCACTGAGGTTTGCACGGTTGACGAAACTGGCGGCGCATCCGGTGGCGCTGGCTTCATTTTTGAAATGATGTACGGTGTGGTCTTCACCATTAACTCACCCGTCTTCTCTGCGCCACGCACCAGATTGCGCGCTATGAAGTCGGCTGTCGTGACGATATGGCGCGAGACCTGTTCGCTAGTATCGCGCGGCATGCGTGATCCCACTGTTGGCTGTTGTAAAAGTTCAACATGACCAGAGAGTACCGCCTCGAGCAGATCCAAAAAGAATTGCTGCAAATCGCTTAGTTCTTCTTGTTCCTCTGGCTGTGCAGCAGCTTGCTCAGCGCCATCAACAGTGCTTTCGCTGTCGACAAGCATTAGTCCAAATGCATGCCCTGGCTCATCGACTTCTAAATCAGGCAAAATAAATGCGCCGTAATTAGTTCTATAACAATTGGTTATTGTTGGTAGTAGGGCATACAGCCAAATCATTTGTGGCGACTGCTTTCTGGGCACTTGAATATCAGTATTGTTGTTGTGAAGTGACTTATCTGTTGGAATTGTGCACTGTATAAATGAGACGCCGTTTAAATGCTTCCATTGGTCGTCACTGGGTGTGGTGCACATAACTAGAGACATGGAGATTTCGCCCTAAATAATACACAAAATGTTACTAACATTTTAAATCATAATTTTAGGATGATAAAAGTTATAATAAAAATGAATTAAAAACACAAAATTACAATATTATTTTTCAATACATAAAGTGAAATCAACAAAATAATAGTAAACAATAAGTTTTAATTATTACTCAACTAGAGCAAATATTGATGATTAGATAATATCTAGATGAAGAGAAAACATATCGAAAAAAAATGGAAAAACATTATGTTAAAAAAAAGGTTTTTGTAAATATGTTTATCAAATAATATTTTGAATAAATTTGCGATCAACGTTATTTAAATTTCGTAGACAGCATGTACATTTATGTACACAATATATTCTCAACATGGGTTTGTTAGAGAGATCAATAATTTATCAATGTTTAACTATGACTTGTCGATATGTGCGTTGTCCCTTGATCATACGTATTATACATGGCGTATGAGTAAACTGATGAAAAAAATTATACCAACCATAGTCACAACAACGCCTTCAGGTTGAATTTTGTACAATTTCGCCTGCGACGTAAAAAGTGTGTCAAAAAGTATGCCCACGTCATAGGGATCAGCGATAACGCGACGTAAATCGGTCAAAACTTTGCGGTAATGACTAGTCGCACTATTTGCAGCGCCATCACCTTTATAAACTACAGGATTTTCTAGTAAAAGAGATTTTTTCTTTGGTGTGGGTCCATCAATTGCTTCTTCATTTGGTGCTGCACCGTCACCAGGTAGAGAATCTGAATCATCTTCTTTTGCTTCCGCGGCAGTGTTATCAACACTTGCATGCTGGCTACGTAACACCTTCAAACGGTAGCTCACTTCAACTTTGGCTCCCTTTAGCTTTTGTACAATTGTACAAGCGTCACTCCACTCAGCCGCTACAGCATCAACATTTTCCGGTAGTCCCACAGATATCGCAAATGTTTCGTCAATTTGTTGCAAGCAAGACTCATAAGCCGTAACAGCCTCCAAAGGTCGGTCCTGTTCTTCATGTTCAATGGCTTTAGCAATGCAGCCAAAAATACATTTGTTAGCAGCTTTAATGCGCTCGTAGGCGCCAAGAAAATCCTCTTCGGTCGACATGATAAGCAACTGTAAGTATATTTTAAGTTAAGTATTGTTTTTATATTAGTAATAATTAAAAAGACAATATGTACTTTATTTAAATCCAAGTTGACATTCATTTTGCTTATTTTTTTTTTTTTAATAAAGTTATTTTTACGAGGGATTGTACTATCCTCAACCAAAGTTTCACGACAACTAAAGAAAATTTTAACCACCAACAATTCACATTCTGTTAACTAAATATGGTTTTTATGCAATTATAAAATTAAAAATTACTCAGCAATCTCGTTAGCACAGAAATGTAAGGCTCTCAGTTGATGCTCTCAAGGTTTAGTGACACCAAAGGGCGAAGGGGTGACGTATGAATTGAATTTCAGCCAATTTTATGTATAAAAAGTAAGGAGGGCTAAGTTTGCGTGTAACAGAACATTTTATACTCTCGCAATTTGCAAGATCACAGGCGGCGAAATATTGCGGTTGTTGGAAAACTTTATATAATACTTGTATTAAAAAATGCTGCGTGAAAATTTAAAATTCATTATTCGAAGAAACAGATTACATTCAATTAAAATTTGGTATCTTGTTAATTTAGGTCACTCTCATAGTTTTATGACAATATTTTGTATCGGGTCGGAGATATAAATGTTAAAATAAAATTAATTTATCGAAAATCACTACGTACATATGTACATGAACATGTTTCCACGCAATTTTCTGAATACATAAGTACGTCAGATACGTATTTATTAAGAAAGCTTTCGCACTTCCCGTAGTTTACAACTTAACCGTTATATGGAGAGTTAACAAAACCTATATTCTGTAGCAACATATTGCGAGAGTATACAAATATTACACGAATATAACTTTTGATGACGCATAGCACAGAGTATAAGTGAAATGAAGGAACAAGAAGTTGCAGCTTCAGTGAATTCTTGTCGCTCTGTTGTTGTTGTTGCATATTTAAATATACAATAACGCTGTTTTTATATTATCTTTCCTCATATTTGTTTACCTTTTTTAATCGTTAAGCGTAATGCCATGTAACAGCAGCTGTCATGCATTAAAAAGCCATCACAAATATATAATATAAATATGTAAATTGATATTAAAGATAAAAAATATCTAGAAACTTTTTGGTTATTAAAAAAACTAAAGAATAGAAACATGTATTTATTTCAAATATTTTGCTGTAGGTATACATACTCATACATACATACAAACATATTATTTTATTTTAATACAGCTTTTTATTTTAATTACACCTAACTTACACTAAACGCTATAAACAATTTTCTTATCTTGAAAAATGTAACTATGTTCATATACATATATAGCAATGATCCGTGCCAAATTTCTAGTCAAATAAAAAAGTTTTCCATAAAAGGACTTAATTTTGTTGGTTCCGTTTGTATGGCAGCCGTATACCTCAGTGGTCCGATCTGAGCAGTTTCTTAGGAGAACATAATCCATGCCAAACCTCGTGAAAATATCTTGTCAAATAAAAAAGTTTACCATACAAGTACAAGGGCTTTGATCGTTCAGTTTGTATGGCAGCTATATACGGGCGACGACGAATATTTGTCGTACTTACATTGCAAAGACCGTAATGGTTCTAAGTTTTATTTTAAAAATCACGTAATAATGATTATGCATTGAGTTTTAATATTTTCTTCAGTGATAATGATTAATTTTACAATAAATAATAAATAATTATTATTTTTAGGCAAATAAAAAATTGAAAAACAGATGACATAGTCGTGGAAAATGCGTGAATTTGTTTACTTTGAGCAAAGCTAGCTTTTTGGTTTCAATATCTAAAAGCCTATCCTCCACGTCATTTACATATTGATCTTTTTTCTCCTAGGACGAACAGGCGAGGGTTTAATGGAAAATCGTATTTCAGCGGAAGTTGGTCCGGTATAGCTTACTTCCGCAGTTGACACTTCATTATTTGCTTCAGTTGCAGTTGTTAAACCTTCCAACAGCGTCGACAAATTTCCAAATGTTTCTCTTGGGATTATTGTATCTTCCACTTCCCAGTATATATTGCTGATATGTCTTGTGAAGCTCCCGATTTCAATTTTGGAATTTTTTTTAATTCTTTACTAAACTAGTCTCCCAAATTTCGCCACTTCTTTCGAGCATCCTTTCTGAAAATCCAAAAAAAAAAAATATTAATTACAATTTTTACAGATATCTATCAACGAGAATATCATTTAGACCAATTTCCTTTTCATTCAGGATATCGAAATCATCTGTTGCTTCTATCGTCAAAGAGCTTTGCAAAGCCATTTGGATATCGCTTCAAAAGATACATATGCCTGTACTAAGCATCGATCAGGGTGTCAAAAGTAGAATTTCTCCAATGGTTTGAGAAGTATCAACGAAAAGCACATTAGGCTCAAATACCCAGCAAATTCGGAAAGTATGTATTATAACTACAAAAGTTACTTTTCAATAATGCTCTTGCCGATTGTCGATGCACACTATCGCTTTTTAATGCCCGATGCTGCTACTTATGAAGGTATTAATAATGGTAATTTAGTGTTACCAACTTTTGATCGTAGACGATGAAATATTTACATTACCAACATACCTAATGAGGCTATTCCCTGCAAGGCGATTTGAAAACAATACCAGTGCTTCAAGTCCTACAGTTAGGCCCGTATGCTTCCAGTTAAGGAACACAACGGGCTCCTCTTCAAGCTGTTTCTGCTAGGATGTTTTCGCAGAAACCACCCCTGTAGTCGTCTGCTTTAAGCGGAACCGCCTCTCAGGAACATCAAGAGGTCCTACCTTGATTACGTCGACGACATTGGACAGTACACCGACCAGACTTCGGACGCAACGAACTTCAGACATACACTGACCGCCATTCACAGCGAAGCCATCAATACCTTCACCGACTCCCTCTCAGTGAATGGCGTACTTGGAGTCAAACCACCACACATCGCAGACGAAGAGCTTGAGTTGTTTTAAACGTAATATTTTTTGCAAGTACTTTATAGTTAGTAAAATATAACTATGCAACATTGTTTAATGTATTTCAACATTATTTACAATAAATAAAATAAAATAATTCAAGATTGTTTACTTACTTGGATTGCCGACATTTTTACCAACTTCGTCTTCAACACTTCGCCTGTCTTCGTAACGACAATGGCTTTTATTCCACAAAACACTTCTCTTTTCAATTTCCGAAATTATAACTTCAATTTTCACTATGGTACTTCTCGCACCATACTGCGGGCAAAATCAAACGAGTTTGATTTTCAAACAATGCGTGCGATACGGCGACGTCGAAACAAGAGCATTATCTCAAAATCGTACTTACATACATTGGACATCAACATTTGCAATTTGTCGTGTCTGCGCTGGACACGGCATTAATTAGGCTTTTCAAGAAAAGTTTTTTTTGAATATGCAGGCATATACATACATATGCATGTATGCATACATAACATAGCTTATTATTTTAGAATTCTTAATTGCCTAAATATACAAAATAATCTGGACATACATTGCAATTCCATACATTAATCAATGTTAGTTTTAGAATAACTGCACTTACGCTTTTACCACTGGAACCTTATCCGTTCTTTATTTCACTCTTTCCTTCCTTCTTTCTACTAAAAGTTCAAAATTTTTGAAAATATAACTATGCAATATCATGAAACAATTTAGTTTCCCACTTTGTCAACAAATACCTTGAAACAAAAAGCACTTTATCACTTTTTTCAATTTTCGCAATTATTATTAACAGCTGTTTTTTAGTTGGTGTGGCGAGATTTTTTGACAGCAAAAATCAGGTGCGTAGTCATATGTCCTTAAACTGGGGTTTCAGATTCTTACTAGCTTCCGGCTTAGTAAGATATTAAATGTTCTGGTTAAAAGAAGAGAAAGCAAATATTTAGAAAATAGCGGAAAAGTCGGTTGAATTATGCTTGATCAACTAAAAAATTGATGTAAGAAAGTCTCGTTTGACATTTCACTTGGAGTCTGTGCTGAGAAAATTTCATTGTTGCAAAACATTATTACGTACATTAAATATACATACATACGTAATTAGTTTTTTGTTATTTTTCTAGTTGAAATATCTATGACCAAATTATTTTGGCGATTGCTGTCGAAGTGAAAATCTCGCTCGGATATGGATCCAGGTTCGCTTAGACTTTTGTCATTGCCTGCCGAAGGATAACCGCTATTAGTAAAAACTTGTTTTATTTTGTTCGAGAATGATTCTCTAACCACTAAACCTGGTTGTGATTGCAGATTAAAAATTAAAATTGACAACTAATCGTCATACGTGGCGTATGGTGATTTAACCATTGCATTTTAATGAGTCAACTCAGCAAGTCATGACCACAGTAACTCTAATACATTAGAAGAATTAGCGTAGAAACTAACACAGACACACCGTGCAACTCATAAGCCCTAAAAGGGCCCTAAATACTTACCCGATACATGGCTTGCATGGAATCCACCCAAAGTTAAGAAATAATTTAGTATTAGATGTTAATTTAGTATATACATACACACATACATATGTATGTGAAAAAAATTTAAATCCAAAGTTATAAATAATAAAATTCAGACATCGAGTTTTGCACACATTGTTTTTATAAATTAAAATTGTTTTGGTATTATTTATTTTACAGTATTCAAGTGATTCATTAGATTTTGATTTTATTCGGCACAAACAAATCTTAAATTATTATAGGCAAATCTTTTTATTAAAAGTTTTGGCATTGCAAAAAGCTTTATCAGTGCTTAATTTAATGCAAAGGAAATTAATTAAATATATTGCTTCGCTGTGTATATTCGTGCTATATGTGAGAAGTACGACGATATCATATAACAATAACGAAATTAACAAAAAAATTTACAAACTTTAAGAAATATATTTAATGAATATACACACTATATAATATATAATGTATATATGTAATATCTATATATTTTTATGGTATGTATATGCTTCGCTGTTGTTACAACTATGTGTTTTATGTATTACGTTATGTACAGACATACAAACAAATAAAAATATATTTCCAACTTAATTTAGCTTTAAACAAATTAACTGAAATCTAGGAAAGTCAAAGTCTATTCACTGTCTTAAGCTAAAAATTATAGATTATAGAATTAGGTAAAAATACATACACAATTTGTGTAAAAATTTACGTATGCACGTGCTATGATATTATAATTATTATTGTGTGAAAAACTGGCTTTGCTCATCGAATTATACGAATAAAATAATAACTACCACGCTACACCGATCGGCGTTCATTTACTACACTAAACTTAACGCCATTATTAACATCTCATAATCACAATTACCGAGAATAAAAATTCTCCATTTGCAAAAACTAATTAGATTTACTAAGAGTGCATAAATAATCCACGACGAAAAGCAACTTAAGTGGGGAACACCAAATCAAAATGGGTTCAGATATGTGCTTTAGGCTTTTTATGTGCCCAATACTTAAAATTTACACGCATATATTACATTGTTTAGATGTACGAATTGTATGTAGAGGTTCAAATGTTGCTGTTGAATTTGTTCTTATTGTTGGCAAAAGCGTTTTACACGCCGTCAAATGACTTCACATTCCCTTTGTTGCCCTTGGTTTTGGTTTTCTGTTTTTAAAAGTTTTCGGCGCCAGATACTGAACATTCGTGGCACTCTGCCGACAACACTATCGTCACTAAACTTCATTATCATCATTATTATTGCCATTGTTGTAGCAGCACCAAAATCATTATTGCAGTTAGACATTTAATGCATTATTGCACCGGTCAGCTATTGCACGTAATAATTATTTTTGTTTACATAATTTAACGTTTTGCGGGTTTTGCTTTCAGCCGGCATGGGCAGCATACCGTTAAACAGTTTCATAAATGTGTATATAGTTCTTGTAATGTAAGCTTTTTTATTTGGGTTTTTATTGTTGTTGTAGTTGGCGCTATCTGTTGTCTGTTGTATGTCTTTTATGTTTTGTGTTGTTGGTGTATTTTCGGTGTTTGCTGCTACACATACTCATACATAGAATTTATTACAACGTGGTACGTCTGGTTTGTCTGATTTTATTTTTAGATTTAATTCAGTTTTTACTATTAGCTGGCTGGCTAGCTGACTGACTGCGGCATTGTTTAAAGCTAATGTAAGTTGATGCAAATCAAAATGTATTATCGTCAATTTGCATCTCCAATTCGATGTCCGAAAGATTCACCTCACGCAAAGAATTTATGAACATATAACGTGAAAAGTAAATATACAACCAGCGGAACCATTTCATTTGGGATTTATGCTCACGCATAGCGCGACGTATTTGTGCAGCCTCATCCCATCCCAATATACACCTTTAAAGAATATAATGAGAATATAAATTAACAATGCATTTCATAAAATTAAACAAATTAATAAGTAAATATATACATACATACACATAATATAATATATATGGATCATTCAAACTGTCTTTTAATTTTTAAGAAAATAGAAATGTTCGATATATTTTGTTTAAATAGGTCGGACATTACTTTAATATATGTATGTATCTAAATGTATTTATCGTTTTGATTTTTAGTTGAAGAATTAAAATTTAACAATAATTAAAATTTAAATTGTTTATGTAAAAATTTATTTATTTATTATATTTATTCACATGTATTTGAAAATTATCATATATAATGACCTTTCGTCATAGCAAAAATATATTGTATATGAATATAGAAAACTTACAAATTCTGACCTAATTTTAGGAATTACACCTTTTTCTCTATAAATGTACTTCGCAATGTATTAAATTTGAAACACCAAAAATATACCTGAAAGTCATTAAAAGAATTTTGTTTACAAACATTTTTGTGTATATACATATATGTATATGTATGTGTAGGGATACATTCATATATAGCGGAACTGATTGGAACAATGTTCACTTTAATATAGAAAAATATTGGTACAAACTACTAATAAAAATTAGTTTCGCATTAAAATATTGTAGAATGTGAATCGATACACACAATTTTAATAATTAAATGATAACCAATGAATTGTTGTAATAAACTTCAGAAACTATGCCAAATCTTGAGTGAGCTTGTTTTAGAATATGCTATCAGACACTTTTACATCATATCTTATTATATCATATTAACACAAATGACTTGCAAATTATTAATTATTTGATAATGATGTGAACTCACCAGTATGACGAAATGCAACATGTACAAAGCAAATCGAAAATTGAAATATATTTTCTTAAAATATTTATGGAGTCCAGTGTATAAAATTTGCATTCTGTGAAAATAAAAAAATTACAGTTTTAGTAGAAATGTTTAGTAATTTATATAATTTAATTATATATATATATTCATCGCGCATTCTCAACACGACAAATACTAATTACATGCATTTCGAAACTATGGTAGCTATGACGCTTTCATTAATAGCATACCTCTCGAATCAAATTGATGTAACTGATCGCTATATATGTACCTACCTTTTGGTAATAAATTAGCTAAACAGAGTGACGCTGCCGCGAAATATACTGCACTGTGATTGGGATGTTGGCTCACACCATCCCGGTCAAATGTACAGATCGCTTGAATATCGAGACTTTCAACAGTGTGCAGTATTAAATTAGCAACAACTGGTGCTTTCCATTCAACATTAGGGTCATCTGGCAGGTTTGTTGCGTTAACCATTATAATATTCGCTGCTGGAACGCCCAGCATTTCACATGAACGCCATAATTCTTCACGTCGTAATTGCGCTTGTTTCTCATAATTACCTATTAATAATTAGACAAATTATTGGCTTGTAATCAAATACTTAACTATAATATGAAAAGTATGTTAATATGCACACCAGATGTAGATTGATTCCATTAAATTTGTAGTTTAAACAAAACATGTTAATTATACTCACCGTTGGACAGACATAACACGTACACTTGGCAGCTGGAACGATGTGTTAATGTGTAGATTAGTGGGCCAAAGAACATGCATTCATCGTCCGGATGTGAAGTCACCAGTAAAAGCCGATCCAATTTGTGTTGCCTCGGAAAGCGCACATTGTTGACCAGCTTGCACCAACGCCACAGTGGGCTGTTGCTGCGTGTTGTGTAAAAAATGCCCAGGCATACTAGAAAGTACACCAGACACGCGTAAATAATATGCTCCAGGGCTTCGATTGCTGTCGAACTGAAGCGCCGATACGATAGAGTCGCCCAGTGCAGAACGTTAGCACGCCACGTTTCTTGTAACAAAATCAACGCTTGCGTCTGGTTGCCAACAAACTGATGCAGGAACCGACCGCTATCCTCGTACAATTGCAATGTACTCGCACTAATCAATTCGAACACTTGATTAAGCCAAGACAATTTCATTTCATTTCAAATGCAGCTCACACTGTGGTTAAAGTTTTCGAGGCAAAATGTTTTATTCGTTAAATAACTTTGAATATTTTGTATTTCGAATTCCTAGCTAATTTATTTATTTAAATTACAGAAATTATTTAAATACGTACATATATAATTTATAGCTTGTTTAATTTTTCCGGTGGGCAAGCCAAGACAAATGTTTCCAATTATGGTATTAATAATTTATAGTTCTTTCTGCAATATATTATCGTTTTTCGTTAGTGTTTTCAGCTCAGACACTATTTAATAAATCCAATTCTTTCATATCGGAATAAGATATCAATTATTTTGTTTAAGAATTATAAAAATTTAAGATTTGTTTTGCCTCTGGCGCGCACCTGAGAGTCGACATTTGTTTCCTATATTTTTGGTGGTCGGTCGGTTCCTTTGGCAAATGGCACAGACAGCAAGCAGCTGTTCTCAAATTTTACCAGTAGTGTTGCCACTGTTCGCATAAATCTAATGTCATCTTAAATAAACATGGCAATGTCCAACAATAAAATACCAATAAGGCTGTGAGACAAACGGTAACATTTTTCTCTGTGTTGAGATGGGGTGAAAAAATTTGCCATGTCCCAGCTTACACATGGACTCTTTTGTCGCTCAAATTGGTTTTTTTGACGATGAGGAAAGTCGAACGGACCGTGCTGCACGCTTTGTGTTCTTGTTTGTAACAGTTCGCTGCTACCCTTTTTAGCATTCCTTTTCATATTCAAATTCTTTTCATGGTTGCTAGCGCTCGGTTTCAAATGAATATACACGCTATGTTAGGAAATTTTAATTTCGTTACCTATTTATATGCATATATGTATGTATAAAATTATAGAAATATTTCGGAAAATTGTGAATAAGGAGAAAATTAATACACTCGAAAATATTTAATTTCAATTTTTAATAACATTTAGCGGTATTAAATGTAATAATGTATACATAAATGAATTCTAATAAAAATGATAACATTATTTTCTTTATATTTACGTAATATAGCAAAAGACAAGGATGACATGATGCGAGGCTTTCTTATTTTCCCTAATTTTTCTATCATTCTCTTTCCCTGATTATTAAGATTAGGGAATTCTGAACAGCGGATATCAAAAAAGGCGGGATGCCAGAAATAAACCCGCTAAAAATAGCTAAAAAACGTTTTTTTTTCAACGAATTTCTTTCCGCACTGGCGGCCTTCGGCCGTAAAAACGAACATTTAAAAAAAAATCATGAAAATCATGCATTTTTCGATTTTTGACAGCCAAAAAACCAGGTGACCGTGAAAGTGTACAAATGCCTTTTTATGTTATATGATGTTTTAGAAATTTTATATTATGAATACACGTATTTAGAGAGGTATGTGCGTGTTATAGTTCTACTCGAACCGAGGAGGGAACCGAGCACTAAAAATAATATCTAAATGCGAAATACCCAAAAGTTATTTTTAAAATACTTAATCCATTTTCTTTCGACAGTGGCATGATTTGCAAATGTTTTAAAAAAATGTGGGTTTTGACAGCTCTCTCTCGAATCAAAGAGTTTCGTATCATGTTATCCTTGCAAAAAAGTCCCAATGTAAACGCAATATGTATGAATTGTTTGTTATTCGTCGATATTGAATTCATAGCAACAACAGATCTTACAAAATAGTATTTTGAAAAAATTATATTATTTAATTGTGATCATAAGTTTTTCAATTGTTTTTGAACTTGTTCTGCAAGTTCAAATTTTACCACATTAAGTTTGATAAATTGCCCTTATTATGAACAATTTTAAATATAATTGTCACAAAGGTGAATTCAAAATTTTTCAGTCATGGCAATACGAATTTTGTACTAACAAATTGCTACTGACAGCTGCTGTCACTCTTTGTAATTGGTGCGAATTTTTTCTACGTTTTTGTCTACTATTGTCAGGAAGGGAAGAACTTTTCTAAGTGATTTATTATTTTACTCTTATCTTTTTTCCTTAACAAATCCTTAACTATATTTTAAACGAATTTATATTCAACTGTGAACTTGGGATGCGGCCCAAATCAAATATAATTACAGTTTAATCGTAATAAAAATAATTTAGATATAAAACTTTGCAAAAAAGGGGATAACAAGAAATGGTAACAATATCCCAGCTGCTCCGATAACACTGATGGAGAAAACAAAGAAAGAATTCACAGATTAAAGAAAATAAGAAATCAATAAAATTGACTAGACCAAATAAAGGGGTCATCTATTAAAAATAAATATTGACCTAAAAGTGAAACGGGAAAAAGTTCATTATATACCCAGCAATACTGGGTAACTCAAAAAAGGATTAAGGGCCTTCACATATGTTAACACGTGTATATAGATAAGACAGGCATATAATTTGTCAGTATAGTGTTGAAATTGTTAAAAACGGTTAAAAGTGAACTCAATATATACCATTTGAGCAACGATTCTAGTTTTAAAAATATTACGTTGCATTCTCGTCGATCCCACTGACATTTCCTTCAATGTCGTCTACTAATCAACCGTTTCTAAATATAGAAAATGTCGACTTAATCAGCACATTGTCTGAAGATGAAGCTGTCGCTGCAGCAGCTGCTGCGGCCGTATCGGTCACACCGGGATCAGGCGCCTCTATAGGTTCAATGAACGGAACACAGCTTGTAACACAAGTAGAGGTGAGTAAACAGTTTCAAATATAAAATTTTTCGTTAGTTTCTTTAAATATACATACATGTGTATGTATATGCACACCTATATCCACTTAATAGTATATTTTAATTCTTGTGTAAAATTTGCACATGCAAATATACAGTTACTATGTATAATATTTATTTCTTTTAAATTTGCAGATAAATACAATCGGACTGAACAAAACAAAGAAGAAAAAGAAAAAATCAAGAAAAAAGTCACGGCGAGAGCATATATTGTTATCAGTCGATGATGATTCGGATGATGATGAAGAAGTTGATGTTTATGACGTAGATGTAAACGGAGGAAAGACCAACGGACATATTACTGATATTGGTGGCAATTTTGTCAATTTATTCACCGATGCGAATGAAAATGATAAGGTAGTTACCATCGGTAACGGCACTGCTACCGATGAGAGTGAATTTTTCAACTCGCTCAACGGACAGTCGCATCGTATTCACCAACCAAAACAAGAACAGCATACAACGCAACAACCTTTGTTTTTAGAAGAAAACCCAGCGCACAATAAAAGCAACGCCAGCAATTTATTTTCGCTCTCATCCAATACATTGCCAGTTTTAAATAATGGACTTGTTGTTACCACTACAGCTCAGCATCAACGTGCTAATAGTAGTTGTAGTCAAAATGGTATAGTCAGTAGTAGTAGTACGAGTAGCGTGAGCGGGAGTAATAATATTGCTCACATTTGCCCACAATATGGCAGTGGAGAAACATCTCCAACACATCAAGCTGATGTAAATCAGAGTGTATCGCCATTGTTGTCGCCAACATTACCTTCAGTGACAGCGACATCGCGTAATTTTCAATCGAAAAGTAATCAGCTGGTATCGTCGACACTACATCGTCATTACGAGAGCGCTGACGACGGTGACGAGATCTGTCTGGTGCCAGAGGTAGATTACGAGGGCTCTTCCATAATGGATGCAGGAAGTGATAATCGGGAATCGCAGCCATTGCTCGGTGGACATGGATACAGTAGCGGTAGCGGAGGTCGCGATCGCAATGAACTGACGGTCAATACCTTTATGGGTGAGTGTTATGTGAATAAGAATGAGAAAAGAGATAATGCAAACAAATGTGTATAATTATAGCTAATTTGTACAATTGCAAAATTTGCAATAGCTTTTAAATATTTTTATTGTTGTGGGGGTAAAAGGCAGCACAGTGCGCATTTTGTGCTAATGCCGTCATAGAAATAACATAGTTATAATACTCATAACGTAAATACTCAGATTTTATTGTGTTTGCGGTTTTGGTTCTGTTTTGATCTACAATAGATTGTGCACTTACAAAGGTTTAAAGAAAAACTTGTCTATAAATGGCCAGTCATCTATGGCTTCTTAACGTAAAAGTGTATGGTATTTCTCGTCTCAATTAAAATTTTACTACTCTATGTTACTAAAATAAATATATAAGAGTCCCAAACAAGTAGTATGTACTACATGTGTAAATTTTTGCTGCAAACGGGTCATAACCAAATGTATGTATGTACACACACATTTACATATATATAAGGGTCTCTATCGTTATTTGAAGTATTATTTGTTTAGTGCAAGTAGTTTATGATGAGTCACCATTTGTTTAGTAGATACACACACATACATACCTATATTTATTATTAGTATAATTACACTTTCAAACACAGTGCCATACATTCTACCATCACAATAAAAATTTTAGTAAAGAAATTCCCCTATTGGAATATGTAGAATATATTTCTCATTGTGTTAACTTACATTTCATCCGATTTTGAGTTGCTATGTATAACTGCACTTTGGGCATATTTGGTTCTTATGAAATTTAAAACAAGAGAAGCGTTAACTTTGTCTGCAGCGAAGCTGTAATACCCTTCACAAATAAAAAAGTTTCCATACAAGAACTTGTTGTTGTGGTTGTGGCGGCAGAAAACATTGCTGTAGTAATTTCGAGGAATGGTGCTGAGTTGACAGTCCTTGGCCGGATAAAAATACGGATCCGTTCCGGTTACTTAGAGAAGAAAAGGTCGTGTATATAATTTCAGATTAATATCTCAAAAATTTAGGGACTAGTTCGGGTGTATACAGACGGCCAGACAGACGGACATGACTAAATCGACTCAGCTCATCATGTTGATCATTTATATATGTATGTACATATTTTTTTTATAGGGTTTCCGACGTTTCTTTCTGAGTGCTATAAACTTTGTGGCAAACTTAACATACCCTGTTCAGAGTATAAAAACAAAAACTCCTAAGTAATGCCTTATGGTATTTTATAGTAAACTGATATTGACAGTATTTTTCTGAAAGGGCTTTAGTCTACTGGAAAGCGACGAATCGTCTCACAGATGAAGCAAAAATCGTAATAACTGTCCTCAGCTGTACATTTTTGCTTTACTTGAACAATATATAGGCGCAACATGCACATTGCTTACGAAAGAGACAGAAAAAATATTATATATAATTGCAGCACAACTACACAAACAAAAATTCAATAATTATGAACATTAAATATTTTTGCAAAACAAAAATGTGCATTAATGTTAATGCTTTTTAAATGTACAACATATAATATAAACTATTGTAATCCCATAACCCTATTTTCTTTATAGTGAACTGTATTATGTATGTCCTTCATAAAATTAATTCCTTTGGCCTGCACCAGTAATATGTTTCCGTCGCTCTTAATTTCTTACGAGTAAACATGTTGCCCATAATCGTTACAATAATAACAACGTGTAGGCGCATTTGTATTTGCATTCCTCTATATTTGTATATATTTAAAAATATATAAAATGCATAAAGTGACAAAATATTTCAAGGTTAAGGTTAAGAGCAGTGGCGTTGAACTTTTTTGTTCTAATATTTTCTTTTTGATTATAAGCTTGACAATTATTTCCTGACCTATTGTTATTGTTTTTTTTTGTTTTAAATAGTTTTTAAGAATGCTACTGACGTAGTAATACTTATGTAAATAAAAATTGGCTTAAAAAAATAAACCAGTTCTATAAGTTCCAGGCAAATACAGCATACAAGCCTTCAGTAATTGTAAAAAAAGTGGTCTGAACATCGAACAGAATCGCCGTCATCATAGGATATGTCATAGCTACCATACAAATTGATGGATCAAAATCAAGATTAAAAACCTTCATAAACTATGCACGCGGTTGCGAACTGAAATGCTATTCAGCCGTTCTATGCACTCCTGCAGTGTACCTCTTGATAGTGCTGCCCCTTAGCACTAGGTCAAGCGTGGAGTTACTGCATTCAGCCTTGCTGTCGAGGGTAACTTAAACTTCCTTGTGAAGTTTACCCTTTTGGTAATACTGTCCCTCGGGAGAAGAGCCAGTGGTGTTTCATAACATAAGGTCTTCATTTGCCGGGTCGAGATTACCTTCCAACTGCCAAAGCTTTCTGCTGTCACTTGAAGCATTGTATGTTGAGCTGTTTGACCGATTACTAGATGGAGCGTTGTGAGCGCAGACGCAGGCGAGTCTTTGCAGTTTCGATAGTTAAAGTCAGGATGACGAGACGAGTTGAAATCCGGATGTCTGTCGGATGATAACCCCGCCCACTCTCCATATACCGATTTTGTTAAAAACTATTAAAAGTGTGACAAATCAGGATGGTATAAGAGAGCTTTATAGGTGTCGGTATCAAAATTGGACTGTGCGCGTGGCACCGCCCACTTTTAGGTGTAATCAACTATCTCGGGACCTGCTCGACCGATTTTAACCAAATTCATAACATAACATTCTTACAATATTCCCATGCTACAGAATGGAAGAAA